AGTGCCTTTAGAAGCAAGATAGTTGACTGTGCTGGAAACCCAAGTCCTTTAGCCACACAAGAGGAAATCAAGAAAGCGTAGGAGGTACCCTTTCTTTGCTAAATGAATAAACAAACTGAGCAAAGCAGAAAACATTTATCTTTCCTTGGAAATTAATATGTTAAGATTGGAAAACTATCTCTTTAGTGAAATCCTTCACACAAAATGTTACTGCAGTTCTCACAGCACATAATTTTACAATTTCATACATTTAAAATATAAAGACCAGGTCTATTCTAGCTTTTGCTATTATAGCAATATGAGGGAAGACTGTTGCCTTTTATTGACATTTTTACATTACTGCAGGTTCTATTCCAGGTTATGCCCTCTAACCATAAAGTTGCTATTCCCAGGACAGCTTATTTCATTTTGGCAACAGCTGTAAGTCAGTCTTCAGTACATTTACTGTTTTGTGCCAACAGTTGGCAAATACAGTGTTCAGGGCCGGTCAGATGGGGCCTGGGGCAACCTGGTCTAGTGGAAGGTTTCCCTGCCCATGGTAGCAGGGTTAGAACCAGATGATCTTTAAGGCCCCTTGAAACCCAAACCATTCTATGATTGCATGAAATTTGAGGGTATGGCTCTCAAAACACCCTTCTATGGAGGCCTGGCTATACTGTGCATCTAGAATATTGCAATGGCCTTTATTCCTCTCACTTCTGACTGAGCACAGAACTACAAAACTACTTTGGTATATCAACATTTTCACTATTCTGGGAAAATTGCAATGTTTTTTTTCTTAAAATATCATTGCCTAAAGTCAAACCATGACACACAAAAATAAATTCATTAGAAGTATGTTTGTTTCTAGTTCACAAGTATTCAGACATGCAAAAGCGAAAACACAGGAGTTCAGAAAGTGTTATACTTATTTAAATGTCATGATTTTAAAAAAATGTGGAGGGATTTTCCAGTCTGGAGTACTACACATCTACAGCTTTAACACAGGGAAAGTACTGTACTGGCCCAGCTTGGAAAACATGGACAGACAACTGAAACTGTAAATAGTACCCTACTTAGTAATTAGCTTTACTGAAATGGTTCACTGGATTTCATTAGTTTGCCTTAAAATTTAGCAGCACATCTTGTACCACTAGTTGGTAGTAAAACCTATAATTCAATTTGTTCTGTGGCCTTGTGTTAACCTTACTCCCTCTGTCACTATATTTTATCTGTAGGTATAAAATAAGCATAATTTTAATGCTACATATTTTAAGGTATGACACTACAGCTGTTTTTCTTTCTAGAAATTAGTGATACCAGATAAAATTAATGATAGAAAGAGTTAAAGGCTAACCATCTTGCACTCTCTGTATTACATTGCAGATTCCATTTGGGAAACAGATCCATGTTTCCTTTGCAGGGACAGCAGAGCATGAGTAATAGTCTGCTAGGCTCTCACCTGAGAAGGCACTGGGTTTCAATGCTAGAGCAGCACATCCCAAAACTGAGAAGTTTCCTGTGTAGTAACTCTGGAGTAATGCCACAGACTTTAGAGAAAGACTGTAATAGGTCATTTTATGATGTACAAAATACAACAATTTTAAAATATTTTGAAATATCAGCACTTCTGCAAATCCAGACAATAGAAGCAGCGCGAAAGTTTTAGCAATGCATGCAGTGCCTTTCTTCCAGAAGCTGGAAAGTGCAGATGAAAAATATTGTGCCAATTACATAGACAAAGAAAGAAAATTACACAGAGATTAAACAGCTTCAATAGATTGAAAATTTCTGTAAAGTTAGGCGTATAATATACCACTGAATTTCCTTATTAATAAAAATTTCCTATATTCTTCAACACCTATTCCATATAGTCTTCATAAACTACTTGTCTCCCAGTATCCCAAGCTTCTTGAGGCTTATGATGTCTTTTCTATTTTTATGCAGAGCTAGTTTTGCATAGAGTGAGTGTGATGCAGAAGTCTTAGAAGACTGATAGGCAATGACAAACACACCATGTAAACTTGAAACAGATGCTGAACAGACTTTTGCAGCACAAAATTAACCACGATTGTATGTACTGCTGCTGAACACTGAAAGACGTGCAGGGAACAACGATGCTGAAAAACTAAAGTAGAAATGAAAGTTGGCTTTTGTGTTAGACTTCAAAAATGAATTTTCATTAGTATCAGTACAGACAGAAGTTGCCTGCACATACAATCCCATTTACATTCCTGTAAAGTGTGCATCAGTTCTTTTGAAAACTAAAAATAAACTCAAGATTCAAAGTTCTTAATCCTAATGCAGAAGACCTCAAAAAAAACTCCCTGAAAAAACCCCAAACCTCCCAGGTAATCCTTTTAACAAAGTTAGAACAAAATGAGGATAAGTATGCAAAATACTGAGCTTGTGCAAAGTCTTTCTAGATACTGATTCGGTTTGATTTCTTTGGGTTTGAGTCCCGTGTAAAAAGCTGTCACCTTGTGTCATGTACTTGTAGGCTGTAGTTCACTGCTAAAGTGATCGGTGATCTTAAATTTTTTGGCATGGAACTATCCTACAGCCACCAGAGGCCACTGCTGTTCTTTGCCTTTTCCCTGCATGTAACTGGGCTGTAGCGAGAAGTCAGCTCACAGGAGCCCCAGGCAATAGTCACACTGGCTTCAGTGCTCCTTTACATATTTATATGCCAATGCTGCATTTCTGTAGAGAAAATTAAAAACAGTACACTTTTTAGTCGTGGATAGAATGCGAAATTATCTAAATATTCCTCACCCAACCTTAGCCTTCAGGAAGAAATGAAATATTGCATTCCAAAAATCTGATTTCATTCCTTGATATGATTAAATTTGTTAGCTTAAGGCAAACTTTTGGATGTAATTTAATTAGTTATCTAAAAGCCTCTAACTTAAGAACCCCCCCCCACACCAACAAACACACACTCATTTGCAACAGAACAAGATAAATGAATTAACAAAGTGATAATAACATTCAAGGATGATAAAATTACTAAGTAATGCTTTGCTACTAGAGTTTACAGGTATCAGCACCCAGCTTGCCCTATTTTTTTGATCAGGAATCTGAAGTATCTAATTAATACTATTTGCAGAGACTGTAGAAAGTAACATTAAAGTAATAAATGTAATAAATGAGGACAGGATCATCCAGCTTGGTTAACTAAGACTACATCATATTAATTGTGTTATAATACAGGCTACTGAAACACTATATAGTTTGTAATTAAGAAACTGGTCATGTGCTGGTGTATGGGATGGGGGAGAAAGAAGGGATATCCTGGAAAGCAACTTGAGCATTTTAACAGTTTTGCAACTAAGCAGCAGCAACCTGCTTCAGTGGGAATGGGCTTTAGATCAATCCTTGGGTGTTAGACTTGAGTAGCCAAAAAACCCCAGAAAAGATAGTTTTATCACTGCAGGCAATATTCTCATAGCATTTCCCTCTGTACAGAAATATACCCTTTTTAAAAGGGCATTTAACAATTAAAAGGTGCAGAAAGAAAATCTAACTCAGAGAAAGCTTTAGAATTTTAAATATATCAATCTATTGACATAACAAAAAGATTAATCAAGTCACGCATCAAAAGTAAGTATTTTGTATTTTTATTTAGTAAGAAAGACATGTAATAAAACCCTAATCTTAGAAGCTGAAACTATGAATTCAAAGATGACATGGAGCAGTGTCTTTGGAGGCAATGAAATCTATGAAGTGCTGAACAATCTGTCAATAAAGCACATACAACTCTCGTCAAGATCTGGAGAGGGTCTTCTGGCAGGAAATAACAGAACAAGGGGGAATGGCTTAAAACTGAAGTAGGTTAGATTTAGATTAGATTAGAAGAAATTCTTGACTGTGAGGGTGGTGAGGCACTGGAACAAGTTGTCTGAAGATCCTTGGATGCCCCATCACTGGAGGTCCTCAAGGCCAGGTTGGATGGGGCTTTGAGCAACCTGGGCTAGTGGGAAGTGTTCCTGCTCATGACAGAGGCTTGGAACTTGATGATTCTCAAGGTCCTTTCCAACTCAAAGTGCTCTCTGATTCTGTGATCTCTCCAGTCAGCACATGGTTCAGGCAGCAGAGCTTGGGCATGGCACAGCCAAACCTTCAGCAGCAGCAAACCATGCATGCCCTGGAGGAAGATGTGCTCCTGGGCACCAGGTGAGCCCAACGTGCTTATGCACACCTCAGCCTAAAAAAAAAGTAATTCAGGGAGGATGCAGGAGGGGATGGCAAGGAACAATCTTCTCCAAGGAACAAAATCATAGGATATGCTGACTTGGAAAGATCATGGAGTTCAACTCCTGGCCCTGCACAGGACCATCCCCAAGAGTCACACTCTATGCCTGAGTGTATCATCCAAACGCTTTTTGAACTCTGTCAGGCTTGGTGCTGTGACCACTTCCCTGGGGAGCCTGTTCCAGCACCCAATCACCCTCTGGGTGAAAAATCTTTTCCTAGTATCCAATCTAATCCTCCCGACACAACTTCAGGTCATCAACCATGCGCCTTTGGCCGAGCCCCGCCAGCTTCGGGGCTGTGAAAGCGAGACTCTAGCCCCCGCAAAACCACAGAACTTTTAGCGTTGGAATGCCCTCTGCAGATCATCCAAGTCCAACGCAGGGTCACATAGAGCAGGTGACACAGCAACGCGTCCAGGTGGGACGCTCCTGCCGGAGCCACATGCAGGCAGACTCGGCGGGCCGGCCCCGGCGCTCGGGAGGCGCAGAGACCCCCATCCGGCGCCGTCTCCATCCCCACCACGCTCCAGCTCCGCCGGGCGCCATCCCGGCCCCGCCCGCCACCACACCCGGATGTGCCGACCTGCCCCCCCCGACCGCGGCCGCATGCGCACTGTGTGCCGCCGCCGCCCCTCACTCGCCCGTGCCCCCCGCCCGCCCGCGCGGCCCTGCCGTGAGTTCGCCGCCGCCCCGCTCGCCCCCCGCCCGTGCCCCCGCCGGGAGCGCCGCCGTCCGCCCCACGCCGACCCTGTATAGGGCCGGGCCCGCCCGCTCGTCCCCGCCCCTCCTTCCCCCCCTCCACCGTTCCAAGTGTCTTGTGTGTGCGTGCGCCAGGGGGGCGGGAGGGACGGGGAGGAGGGGGCGGCCATGCCGAGGGGGCGGCCCCCCGAGCCCGGCGGGGAGAGTGGCGAGCCCGGCGCCGAGGCAGGTAACGAGTGCGGCCGGGCGGGCGCGACCCGCGCCCGGGGGTGGGAGGCGAGAAGCCTCCGCGGGCTGCGCATATAGTCCCCGGATATGGGGGAGGAAGGCCGGGTCTATTGTGCGAGGGTACAGGCGGGCGGGCGGAGGGGAGGAGAGGAGAGGGGAGGGAGTCGGGCCCGGCCCTGCGGAATGATACCGGGCGGGCAGCGGCGGAGCGGGGCCGGGGCGGGCCTCGTCCCGCTGCCTCCTGCCCGCGAAGCAGGGCCGTGGCTGTGGAGGCCGCTGGAGGAGGGTTTTCGGCACTGGCCGCCCTCCGCCTCGCTCTCCTCCTCCTCCCGCGATGCGGTCCCGGCGCCGGGCCGGCGGGAAGGGCCGGGGGAAGAGCCCGGGCCGCCTGGCGGCCGGCAGGACGGGAAGGCTGCGGCTCCTTCCGCCGCTCTTTTCCCTCACCTCCTCCCTCCGGCCGCACTAACGAGAGCTTCGAATGAAGGATGATAAACAAATGGAAAATGAGGTTTAACTTGTCCACTTCTTTTTTTTCTTTTTTTTTTTGACCTTAAAAAAATCCTTGTAGTTGTTTTCTTTGTGAGTATATGTGTAAAAAAAAAACACCACACCAAAACCCCTCTGTTTTTCTTTCCCGAACATATATTAGCCTTCGATTTAAAAATTTTTGATTGCGTTTTACTGTTGTCGATGACTGGACAGTACTTCAGGGCAGGATTGGTTTGATGGGGGTTTTTCTGACAGTAGTTGGTAGATGGTGAGTTTTATGGCTCTTTTGTGCAGTTCATTTCTGCTGATGTTACTGGGGTTCTGTGAGCAGTATCTGATTAAGGCCCACAAACTGCAAAAATACTGTGTTTCAGGTAGGCCTGAAACCCTTATCTGTGACTTCTCCTTCAGCACAAGCACTTAGCAGTAGATTTTGGGGGGGATTATATTTTTTTTCAATAGATAGAACAGAGTGAGATTTCATAAAGCATCTGAATACTGTGGTTATTTCAGTCATAAAAAGTCAGTTAATATTTTCAGTATATATTTAGAATGTCTGGTTTTCCCAGTGCTTGCAGATGAGCTCTGGCTCTGCAAGGGGAATGTGTAGGTGAGCCTTCTGTGGAATATTTTTTTTTGTAGGATCGAAGTGTGCTGACAGGCAAAAAAGAATTGCTGTGCTGTTAGGTGAATGTTGGGAAGTTGGATAAAATGTTTTCTACATTATGGAAAGCTAAATGGGCCACAGTTTCCTGTCAGAAGTGGGGGTTTTTTGTTGTTGTTTTGGGTTTTTTTGTTTTGGTTTGGGTTTTTTTTTGTTGTTGTTTTCGTTGTTGCTTCTGTTGGGGCCATTTATCTCAGCTTTTGATCACTAAGGAATAAGCATTTAAAGACAGTCCCGAAGAATTTCTGCTGTTATATTTTGGAGGTTGTAGGTTTGGGCATTTTTAAAGTTTACTTGAACACAAAGATCTACGTAATTCTCTAGTAGTTCTTGAAAGGTTGCACATGTCATACATGCGTAAGCTCCTGTAGAAATGGCATGATGCATGAATGAGAAAAAGATCAAAGCTGAGACAGACTGTCCAGAAAAAGTTCCTAGTAACTGTTCATTTTGCTTGTAGTTGGATCTTGATCTTAGGCTCTTCCTATGGTAAGAGGTGTGTATGGCTGCCAAGACTTGATGTGAGTTTCATTACATTCCGTATTTTTCATGTATTTATTTCTTTTGAAAGAAATTTGCTCGTTTACTAAGGAAATTGTTTCACAGAGGTAGTTTGCAGGCAGCCGTTTAGTATTACAGGGTGCAGGGCTACCCTGAGGATGCAGAGACATCTGTAACTGCAGTGACTGTTCCTATATAGGCAAATTTTGTGGGTTCTGGTGTCTTTGGTCCTTGGGATTTCAGTAGTTTGGGAAAACAGCGAAGTCAGTGTTGGCAAGTGTCATGTTTTTTTCTACACTTCTGTGTGACAAAAGAAGGTCATGAATGAGGAAGCTCCGGCTGAACAGGACAGCTTGAATTAAGGAATTTTATGTTCTGAGGACGTTTGGCTGTTTGTCCCATTCAGATACAGACTGACAAACTTTGAAAACTAGTTGTGCAACTGAAGCATAGGCTTCGCTTTTAGCAGGAGGATTTTTTTTTTTAGAAAACAGCTGTTTGCAAAAATAAATTTCATATCTCTTACTTAGGAAATTGTACATTTTTAGGTTCTTTTTTAGTGTGGTCCTTGGAATTCCTACAGCCTTGTTATGCTGATGTGTATCATGAAAGAGAAGTGTTGCTCTGTAGTTGTACAGTCTGTATGTTTCTGTTAATGCATCTTTGAGAGAAAATAAAGGTGAATCAGTAATGTTCCACAGCTTCCTTTAGACTTCTTCAACCGCCATGCATGTCAAAGACTAGAACAAGTTCTTTGTTCTAGGAAAATTAAATATGTTGGATAAAAAAAATGAACTCTAGGCAACAACAGTCAAAATAATATTGTGACCTCAATAGCTGCTATTCTAAGATAACCTTTTTTTGGCATTGTAGTGTTTCCCCAAAACCATTTTGCAATGATTTCTTCTTTTTTTTTTAATCTCAATTGAACTGTTCAAATTGACTTCTCTGGGCACAAACCAAAAAATGGGAGGTTCTGTCTGAGCATAAGGAAACACTTTTTCAGTGTGAGGGTGACTGAACACTGGCATTGGTTACAGAAGGAAGTTGTGGAGTCTTCTTCCGTAGAGAGGTTCTTTCTCTTGTACCTGTGATGTTTGTCACTGAATAGCAGCAACATGAAATGAGCAGTTTTGACCTTCATGACTATGAGATCTTTTTCAGATAGCAGAGGAGGAATTCTTTGAACAGCAAAATGAAATATTTTAGGACATACTGAAGCGTTTTTTAAGCCTAGAGTGTATGTCACATATTAAACCCGAAGGCCACTTTTGCGCAAGTTTGAGCTGAATTCTTTTATGAGTGCAGTTAAAACTTGAGTTTATCGTGCCTTCAGGAGGCCTGAATTGTAACAGATTTCACATATGAAGAGTGCTAAATATTAAATACACAAAGCTGAGAAACAGAGAAGATGACACAGCTCTGCAGAGCTGGCTGTATTTGGTTTGCATCATTTATGGTGTGAGTGTATTGAATTAGGAGAAGGTCAGTTTGGAGGCTTTACATTCCACTTTTGTATTACTGAAAAAAATTGAAACTTGAACTCCCCAGTGAAGTCTTACCAAATTTTTGTTATGTAGTTTATTTTAGTTGTGTATTAGGGTTTTATGTGGTGACCTTTGACTGACAAGAAGAGAATAGGGGAGTCATGTCTTGCAGGCAAGAATAAAGAGGTTGAGGTACTGCTTATGTGATGTGCTCTAAATCTTTTAAATAGGATAGGTATAGGTAATTCCTTTTTAAAGCATACAGAAGGACAACTGCCCAAACTTTTGCCGTATAAAAGATAATCGTTAGATTTTAGTAGCGATACTGTTGTTTGGCCATCTCACTATTCTGCAGTAAGAAAATCTGTGGTTATTTACGAGGGGTGTGTTGGGTCTTAGGGAGAAGATGATAAACTTGGATCACACTGGTGTGCTTTAATTCCACATTAGATCCTCACTGTACCTGAAATATGTGTGTGTCTTTTCTCAAGTTATTATGCAGTTGAATGACTTGTGTTTAAGTTCTGTCTCTGTGATAATTTCAGCCCCTGTTCTGTCCCTTCTCTGTAGCTTTCTGCCAATTTGAGAAATCTTATTCCCTATTGCACTTGTGCTGATACCTTCATACCTCATTTATTCATATGCATTAAGTGCTTCCAGATATAATTAAAGTTTCTATTTGAGACCTCTCATGTCTTTCTTATGAGGTTTTTTGCTGCAGTTGGATTTTGTTCACTCCCTGGGAGAAGGATGATCATGTGGTAAATCATTGACTTCATTCAGAAGTTTCTGTTAACACTGTAGTGGCTGGGCACAGCTAAGGGTCATGGTCTCAACCAGGAGATATCCAAATCATGTAAAAACAAACAGCTGAAAAACGGTGGCTTGGTATATTCACATGCAACTGTGGGAAAAAAGTATAACTCCCGTTTTGGAGTATTTAACAATAAATATGTCAGTATTTACCTGAATGGCAGATGAAGCTATCGAAGTTGGTTAGGGAAATGCCAATATTTTCAGTTTTCTGTGTAGATTAGGATGATGCGGATGGTGTATCTGTGTGGTGGGTTGTCCTTGGCCAGCCATGAAACACGCTCCAGCCACTTGCTCACTTTCTCTTGCAGTAGGATGAGAGAGAGAACAGGAATGGCAAGAGCAAGAAAAAGCTTGTAGGTTGAGATGAAGACAGTTTAGTAAATAAAGTTCTAAAAAAAAAGAAAGGTAAAAAAGAAAAAGGTAAAAACCCCAAACCAAAACAAAAAACCCCTCAAGCCAGCTGAATCACCATCCAACAAAAAAGCCCAACCAAGTGATGCAAAGGCAAATGTTTGCCTTTAGTCACAGATTTTAAACAGCTGATAGGAAGGAAGTTGACTCCATCCCAGCCAGACCCAATGCAATCCATTTAGTATCTAACCAGCTATGATGGAGCTGTTAATTCCATGTCCTGTCGGGCTTCTCTGCTGCTGCAGTGCATTAATGTAGCTCTGCAATGTCTGGAATCGTCTGCTCCTGAAAGGAGTGCAGCTGCTTTATGTTGGCACATGCTGAGTGATTGGCCCCTGGGTGTCCATCCCAGAAGTGCACTCCTGGAAGCCAAGTGTCTGGACTTGTAGTACTTTACATTCCTGATTGTGTGTTGACCAAAACATAATAAAACTACCTTGTCTTATACAAGCCAATATTGATTGATTTTTGGATTTTGATTTGATACGTGGACTGAGAGTTAGTCTCTCCCCTTCTCTTCCCATCAGAAGTCACAAGGAATGACTTCTATTTTGGTTTAAGAGTACTGCGCTAAATTTAAAGTGAACTGTTTCTTTTATGATTGCAGAACTAGGCAAAATGTTTTAATGATTCATTATCATTTGCGTTCTATGAGTTCAAGTGTAGTATGAGGAAATGTCAGTGTTGGCATCCCTGTTTTGTTCTTTTGTCCTACCACTTTCTTTTCACTCATAAATTAGTAAATAGGTTTTGATAGGGTCAGACCCTTTTGTCCCTAGGCTTGCCAGCTGCCATTTAACTTCAGTGACAAATTTTCATCCACAAATTTCACAAGCTTGAGTGCTTTATTCGCAGTGTCCTCTCAGTCGAATGCGAGGAGGTTATTAGAGATCTAATAAGGCTGTGCTGCATTCACAGCTGAATGAGTCCATCTGCGCCTTGCAGAGAGGACTGCAGCCTGCCATGAGGCACAGTGCTGCTTACATAAGGAGGGAAGGCTTGGAGTGCTCTTATTCTGTCTTCCTCCTTCCACGCTGAGTTGTCGTCAGTGGCTTATAGCAGAGAGCACCTGCTTGCTGACTCAACTCCCGAGGTCAAGTGTTGGTGAAGGCTGTGTCACGGCTGAGTTGACCCAAAGTGATTGCTGCTGCTCTGTGAGGGACAATAAATTTAAAATAGAAATTACAGGTTGTAACATTAAGAGTATTTAAATAAGACTATCTTTAAACTGAAAATTTATTATCGTTGATAGGTACTTCACAAATCTGATTCTGCTATCTATGGGCACTATGGACAAACTGTAAGGATACAGACAAAAATACATTTGAAAGTACATACAGGCAAAAATGTGTTTGACAGTGCATAATGAGCTAAGTACTCCCTGTTTAGTTTAATTGTTTTGATACTTGACTGTCTCTCTCAGGCTGTGATGTAATAAGGTTGATTTATGTTGCAGCCAGACTAATATGCAAATTGGAAAAAAAATAGTAAGTGACAAATGGCAGTGTTTTAAGCTTTGCACCTGTTCAGCAAGGTTTATTATTTGTTATACTGTGCAGATCTGAAAAAATCACTTGTTTTTAATAAGGGTTTGTTACTCTGATAGTAATTTTGTGTTTTCTCTGTGTGTGTTTATGATATCACTAAGTAGCTTCTCTCTACTAAGAGCATGCCAGTTTTTTGTGTGATTGTGCTGACATTATGTGTTTAATCAGATAATGTCTTCTTGAACTTAACCTTCAAACTTTTAATTCTGTATTGCTGGCTTGAATGGCATTCAGTTAGTTCATTAATAGACAGCAGACTTCTGTTTTCATCTGCCAGAGTATGTCTGACAATAAATAGATTGCTTAATTTGTGTACCTAATACTTATATTTTTCTGAGAGCATAAGCATCATATTATGTATTTATTATGTGCTTCATAATATGATAAATGATGAATTGTGTCCATTAAACACTGTGTCAGGTATGTCAGTATCTTCATTTTGTTTCCCTTTGGTACACAGAGAATGTTTAGAATTGTTGTGGGGTTTTTTCAATTAACAAATTTCTCAGGGCATTTAAAAGTACAGGGTCCATACCCCACTGCCAGCTTCTGGAACTGACATAAACTACATGTTTTTTTGGTATTCAAAAATATTGGCCTTTAGGATAGGTTCAGTATTTTGCAGTGATTGGCTTGTTTCATGATCCAAGTTGATGTGTCTAAAAGCACTTTTTCCTCTAATATAAGGAAAGATTGTTTTATGATGATTTATCTAAAATACAGTATTTTAGGTTAGTACTTTGACTTTTGTCATAGAGGTATCAGTGTAAAGTCTTCATCTGGATATTAATTCTAACAAAAAACTTTGTCAAACTGTTGTTTCATTTTCACATTGAAATGAAGACAAACTCAAGCCATACTTCATGAATCCAGGAGTGCTGCCTGAAAAGTCAAAATATAGCTCACTTGCTTGTTAATTTTAATTGACAGTGTCTTTCCTGGTTTTTTCTATCTTGTTACCTCTTTCTGATTTAATGTTAATCATTTCTGTCTTTTTAAAGAAAAGCTGAAGTACTCTCTTCTTGTATATCTCTGCAATCAGGTGGTATGATTTCATAGAAATAGTCATCAAATTCTGTTGAAACATCACAAGATTTTTCATTATGGAATTAAACTCTTTTTGAATTCCAGAAGAAAATTCACAGCCTGTAGATTAATCAGTATTACAGTCAATATTACAGATATGATACACATTTTAATGAAAATGATACCTAGAAATGTTATTGAATGAAAACCGGTGTCATTTAGTAATGTTATTTAGACACTAGTGAGCATGTTGCTTTTTCTGTGTTTCAAAGTTAGCACCTTTGATGTCGGTGTTACACTTTAGCTACTTCAATTTCTTAGGCATTGTTTTTGTATATTGTCCAGTGTCTTTGATCTTAAGAGTGACTTTAAAGATAATAATCTCTTTGGTTGAAGGAGAAGGCTTGAAGGCCTTTCTGAAGTCATGGATTGGATCATTTTTCAGTTGTCAATTTAAAGTGAGAGGTCAGGCTTTCATGGGGTTGAACAATTACTCCTTTTTCTAGGGGAAAGGAAAGCCTTCTACATTACGTTTTCATATAACCCAAGTATCAGAGTAGATTTTTCTTCCACATCTCTTGTCCTGTCAGTATTTACAGAAACTGATTTTGTGTCCTTTATTCAACTCAGGAGTATTTATCACAAGGATGCTTAAAGGACTGTGTCTTTTAGTTAAAGCTGTGGTTTTTAATTATTGAAGAAATGTGACCGTTTCAGGGTTGTTATTGATAGTGTCTGCATATACTATGAACATACAGCTGAGAGTCCATTAAAGGATGCAGTAGGTTAAGTTTACACATGATAAATATTTGTGATACTTACATCTTTCTGTTACAGAAAAATACTTTATAACTAAACTTTACAAAGCAGAAGTTAATTGGGCATCTCGGTCCAGAAATGGGAAGTGTAAGTCCCTAGGACATTGTTTTTACTTCTTGCCCAAAATATATTATGCTGAAATGTTTCCTACAGCTTCCTCAGCTACAAGTTTTTAAAGTTTATTCATGAGAATTTTGGCAAGCAAAAAATATGGTCAGGATATAAGGTACTGATTTTTTTTTTCCCCCTCCCTTGTAAATGTTGTGGTGAATGAGACAGGACTTTGAAGTGGGTGCAGTACTGAGCAGAAATACTGTATGAATTGTAATCTTTGATTTCCTCTGAGGACATGTAAACAGAATGCTGTAAACTTCTACTTGTGTTGTTACTTCCTGTGCCTAATTCTTATGTTCATGGTGGAAAGTACTGACTTAAAGAGAAATATCAGGCCTTGTGTGTCTAGATAACAAAATCAATGTTCCCTTCTTTTTGTGTTCTGTTGTTGATGTAGTTGGAGCTGTAGGAATATTTGAAACTGAATTCTGTGGATTATTTCGCTTCAGTCTCCCTAACCTGCAGCACAAGTCAATCAATTTTTATTTTCATTTTAATAATACTGCTTTGAATGATATAATAAGTCCTCCTGCCAATTGCTTTTCTTCAAGTTATTCTTAAATAAAGATAACTTCTGTAGTAATGCAGTATCTTCTCAAATGTAAAATGTGTTTAACTTAGTTGGATTAATATTTTCTGTATATCGTAAAGTATTTATATGTTTGACTTTGGCCATTTGAGCAAGAGGATATAGAAGCTTGCAACTTGTGTATCCAAAGTTATGTGATTTTAGGAGTTCAAAACAAGAAAACTGTATGGACTTAGACTGGGTCTGTTTAAAGAAAAATACATCTCTTTCTTCACTGACTTAATGTGTACACAGTTTGACTTCCAGTTTATTGCCTCTCTCTCAGCTATTTGAAACAGTGGTGTTGGTTTTACAACTCTAAAGGTTTTAATATAGGTTTTAATAAAGGTTTTACATTGCCAAGTGTAGAAAAAAGAAAAGACGTCCACATTTTTCTTAAGGAAAAAAAAAGAGAGAGAAGTGATGGAGGGCAGAAAACTTGTATAGTCAGAACTACTGACTATGTAATTTTTAAAAGCCTTAGAAACACGTGATGTAATATTATTAAAAGCAACCCTTCTCAGTATCTTACTTATACCTGGTGTATCTGGCAGAGTTTTATTCTGTTGCAAATTTGATGGGTGTTTAGGAAGCACAGGAAGAATTTATTTCAAATTACTAGGAAAAGGTGATTGTTTATCTCTTTAGCAACTGGCAGTATGGATATATGTGGTTGATCTGTTGTCACTGAAAGCAGTAATGTTTATGCCTGATATCTGCAAGATCCCTTGAATTTAGAGTGTTGTATAAGTCAAAATCTTAGAGGAGTTGAAATAGTTTCTGCTTCAAAAAATTTGTTTTTTACAATAAATTATAAGTAGATGAAATATGACTTTATACAGATGTTTTGATTGTTGTTTTGTAGATGACGTTCTGACACCGAATACAGAGAACGGAAATTTTCCCTACCAAGTACCTAACTTGCATAAGTGTGAGATTTGTTTGCTGTCTTTTCCAAAAGAGACCCAGTTCCAGCGCCATATGAGGGATCATGAGCAAAATGACAAGGTATGAATTCTAGTAGATATAACCAATGTATAATGATATTTTCATAAACTGTCAGGTAAAGCTAACACAAGACATCTTTTCCATTTTTTTAGTCACACCACTAAAAATTACTACTTGGGGACCTCAGTTAACTTTCTTCTCTTTCATGTTTTCTCATGTTTCCTTTGAGACAGGACCTTACTTTGATGTTGTTTAGTTAGATTGCTGTTTCCAGATCAGTAATTTTTAATTTTAGCTATTTTCTTTGACTTATAAAATATTCAGGTAGATGAGAAAGTGTATAGGTTTCTTTCAATCGATTTTTCAAAGTGATTCTATATATTAGCAATAAAAAGAAAATAATACTTATATTGATTAACTGACCTCACTAATAAACTAATTTAGTATGTATGTATTAAGCAGTAGATTAATGTCATCACTTTAGTGCTTACAAGTCAAATTTAGGAAAGAATAACAAAAATACAGATATGTGCTTAAGACTGGACTGACTTTTTAAATGAAACTTTTGCCACAGGTTGCATCTGTAATATGAAGCATTTAATTTCTTTTCCTTGTTTTCTGTTTTACAAAGCTGGTACTACTTACATGTGATGGAAAAATAATTTTATTACTTTTTGAGGTAGTTGTACGTACAGATTAATTTTTACAAAATGTAGCACTTAGAGATAATTTACTTATACAAAGAACAACTTGGAGAAGATTCAATGTTGTAAAGTTGATATATGACTGTTAAAACCATGCTATTGCACAGTTCTGTAAGAGCTTTTATATATAGAAGTGAAGGTGCTCTTAAAAAATGAAAACTGATTGTGCAGATACCAACTGAAGAGCAGTCAATCCTAGTATAAACTGTTTTCCTGTTTTGATTATTAATTTTGCTTATGAAGATTTCATAGAATCATTGAATATCTCGAGTTGGAAGGGATCCACAAGGATCTCTGAGGCACAGGACAGCCCCAAGAATCACCCCATGTGCCTGAGAGTGTTGTCCAAATGCTTCTTGAAGTCTGTCAGACTTGGTGCTGTGATCACTTCCCTGGGGAGCCTGTTCCAGCACCCAACCACCCTCTGGGTGAATCGTGATCACAGTTAAAGTAGGAAAATATGTCTCCATCTCCTGCTTGTTCCTCTTTACTGCTAACTTCATTCTTCTCAGACAGTCTCAGTTTTGGACCTCTGCTTTACTTAATTCTCCTGCTTTCTTTCCCCATGTGCTCTTGAAATGCTATGTTTGTATCTTCAGTAATGAGATGCAAAGGAGAAAAATAATTAAGATTGGTATTGTTAAGGATCATTATCATATGTAGGTACTTGAACTGCTCTTCTATTTTTAACATTTTGATTTGTATGGTTATATGTGTCACCCAGGGTATATGTAACTTATGGAAATACTGAATTTTGTCTTTATTTTTGTGATTTTAACGAACAGCCTCACCGATGTGACCAGTGTCCGATGTCATTTAATGTTGAATTCAACTTGACACTTCATAAATGTACTCACAATGGCGAAGATCCTACCTGTCCTGTGTGCAACAAGAAATTCTCCAGAGTAGCCAGTCTGAAAGCTCATATAATGCTACATGAGAAAGAGGAGGTAATTCATTAAGCATCATAACTTAAATTTTGAAAAGACATGTCATAATAGTTGTATTTAATCCCCTACCCCTATGCTTTAGATTGGAGGAGTGAATAAATTATTTGATTTAAAAGAAATAAAAAACTTCTAGTGGGGCGTCTGTTTTAATAATAGTTACAAAAATTAATAAGCTGGATATAACTAAGTGTTCCCATCATGTCTTTGTTAACAAAGAGAATCTGTGCATGTTTGATATATATCTAAATATTAACTGATTAGTTATTTACAAATACTTTTATTTTGAAGATATTTCTGTGACTTCATCTACATAAGCCCACATGGGTGATTGTGTTTGATGGCAGATGTCATGGTGAGGCACTCTCACCATCTATAGATATAGAAGAAGTTGTTCCCTTGTCTACAACTCCCACTTCTGTTTTTGAGTGGTGGTTTCGCTTCAAAGTGCTTTGTGTTTCTTTCCCTCTCAAAATTTAGTTTTCCATTTTTATAAGGCGTTGGTTGAATTCTTAGCAAACAGTTAATACATAGTGGTGCTTTGCACACTTCGTAGGCATTACTGCATTATTGCAGTTGCCAGAGTTGATTGCACTGCCCAAAATACCAAGTTTTTAATCAAATAATTGCTCCTTCTCCCGTGAAGGCTTTTTTAAACTTAGACTTTATGTTGGAGAGTTGGAGCTAAACCACTGTTATCATCTGGCTTCTGATCATAAAGATAACAGAGGTATATTTCTCCATGCCAACTGCAGACAGCTTTGCAGCAGTTTTGACCCCTACGTTTGGGATAATAGGCCTGTTTGTACTTGTCTAATCCATGCAGGGTATATACCATGTGTAGAGATTGTGTTCCTTCTTTAATCATGTTTTAGTTCACATTTTGTCACGTACACAGCCAAGTTAAGTGGGCTTGAGTACAATTTTGTTGCATGTTAATGTATCTATAATGATACATGGCTTAATGGGTATTATTAAGGAAACTTGATTTATAAATGGCTAAAAACGTCAGAATAAGGAAACTAAGCATCAAGAAAGACACCTGAGAGTGATTTTTGATATTCATTTCTGCCACTAAGTGATTTTTCATGCACTTCAGCAGCTCTAATTTTGATACTTGGTGCAGATGTCAGAAGAATAGGCTGTGTGATGCCTTCTAATTTAAAATTCAATCTGCAGCTTGAACATTAAATTTATAAAAATATGAGTACCTTTCAATTGCTGATGAATGTATTCTTGTAATACCCAATAATTTTATGATGAAACAGAGATGAATGTAACAATTCACAGAGAACTGCAGGAATAACTTGCCCAGTACTTTTGCCTAGGACCTGTAGGAGATCTGGAATTTGAACTTGAAGCAGAGGTTATTGACCATCTGAAGTTATTGATGTCTGAAGTTATTTACGCACACCAGTGAGGAACATTTAACAGAGATAATAGATATTTTTAGACATTTAAGCTTAACTCTCAGCTTAGATTTTGTAAAATAAAGATAGAATGACAAATAAAAATTAAGAATTTTGTAAAGCAAAAAGAAGTCAAGAGCTTTTAGTTTTCATTGAAACAATATTTGACTTTGATTCTGCCTCTGAATTTCAGAGAAGTGGCAATAGTTTTGCATTAAACATCAGAAGTATAATTTCCATTCTAAATGTCATGGAATAATAATATAACTGGAAAATGGTGTGTTTGACACTGCTGTAAAATTAATGTGTTATCTGTCAGAAGTATTATGTGTCCCTATTAATTTCTGTCAGCTTTTCTGTGAAGATACCTTAAGAAAATTCAGTACTAACTGTGGTGGGATTACTGTTTAAAAATATAATTTTAACCAGTAAAAGTGAGAAATCCCTGATTCTACACTTAAGATGCTTGTGGTTAGAAAGTAGTATTTGTTACAAATGTTTCTGTAGACCAGAGTGTAATGGCACTGAGGTAAGTTTCTGTGTGTGTCTTGAATCAGCCTACCAAGGAAATAGGGAGTGGTGATGATGGTACTGAAGTGCTTGCTGCTGCTGCCATGTGAACTTTTTTCAGAATTCAGTTTCAGTGGAGTTTCTTCAAATATAAATATTAATATAATCTTACAGTGGTTATTGTTCATGGTTTATATTATAGGACTCATAAACTTTTTTTGCTGTATATGTTTATTGCTGCTTGTTCCAGCTGACAATGTCCATAGAAGGATACATTAATCTGCTTGAGCAAAGCTTGTGTGTGTACTGCTCTTTGGGAATATTTTTAAAAATCAGTGTCTATTATCTCTCTCAGAATCTTATCTGTTCAGAATGTGGAGATGAATTCACTTTACAGAGTCAGCTGTCCATACACATGGAAGAACATCGTCAAGAACTGGCAGGCAGCAGGATCCACAGCTGCAAATCTTGCAAAAAGGAATTTGAAACTTCCTCGCAGCTAAAGGAGCATATGAAAACTCACTATAAAATAAGGTGACGATCACGGGGTTTTAACAAAATGAGCAGATGCTAGTTTTATGGTGATAGCTGGGAAAAGCAGGAATAGCATTTCTAGTCAGCAAAATACCATGATTGATGCAGATACTTTCTTTTCTTTGCTATGCTATTATGAAATGGCATTTGCTTTTTAAAACTTTGCTTAAGTTGGTTATTTTTGGAGGCCTTTTTTCCCGCCCCGTTTTTGTATTTAGGGACACATACTAAGCACAGTTTATCTGCTAGCTATTTGTAAACACGGGTTAAGTTTTTCTGATGCAAAGTGGTTTTTTGAAGTGTGTTTATGATTTTAAAGGCTAATAGCAGTACATTGAAGCAAATTTTACATAGCCTTTATTTTAATGACAAAAGTTCTCATGATTGCCTTCTGCAAAGAAAAGTTGTTCATTTCAGTTTAATTGTTTTTTGCAAGCGGTCCTCCTCACAACCTCCCATGAGTTTCTTGTAAATCTGAAAAAGCACAAAATGAAGGTAAAAAAAAGAGGCCTGACAAATGCTGTTCTTATTCTTGGTGGATATTTGTTCTGTCCTTTCTTTCAGCTCTCTAGTTTAACTTTACTTTTAGGAATGTGAGAATTTTTTTAAGTTAGAAGGAAGAAAAACTTAGTTCTATTGGTTTAGTTTATATATTAAGAAAACCTAAAGTCTTGACTAGTGATTTCTCTTTTAATCTCTTCTCTGTTTCTGTAAAAAACAGATGGGGAAAATTACCTATCTAAAAACAAGAAATACTGGCTATTTCCAGTTCTTTTTCTTATCAGATGATAAAGCTTCTAAGATCCTAATAATTGTGTTCCAGAAGGTTGAAAAAAGTATTGTTGTAGATTTTCATTTGCCAACAGAAATTTAAGGGTTTGAAGAATCAAGTTATGTTTGTATTGGGTTATATAAATGTACCATATTGCATACAAAAATCATTCTTGTTGTGGACATCTCCTGTGTAGAGATGAATGAATATTAGGATGAATAAAGAATAGAGTGAATATAATATGATGGTTGTGATTTTGAGAGAGTATTATGTGTGCCCCATGCTGACATAAAAGACATCTAAGCGCTTCATGATCATTTGTTTATTTTCCTAAGCATGGATTATTTCTGGATTCAGAACTTTCTTATATGACATTCATCTTATTTATCAGTTCAGATGTAGAAACGTGTTGCAGTTGTGTTCCATGAACTACTGTCTGTACTGGTGCTGTGCTGCCCTTTAACCAGCAGTACCAATACAACCCATGTATATGAGCAGGGTTAATGACTTGATTCAGTGTTCCCGCTCCAGTTCGTCACAGAGCAAATGCAGCTCAGACCTGTGTTTCACAGAAATAATTTTGAAAGGAAAAATGTGGAAATTCAGATTTTATTGTTGAATGTGAAAAGATTAATTAATGAGTTACGAAAAGTTAATGTTTGGTCTAACTCAGTTATGTAGAGTGTATTTAAAGTTCAAAGACACACATCAATTTGACTACTGTTTTTCAGTGTAAAATAAGCTTCTGAGATTTTTTAGGATTTAAAATTATGAAGAGCTTTGTTCCTTTAAGTTTTTTTCATAGAGCGAATGCACTTTCATTGCCAAAAAGGTAATAGTTCTCTGAATCATTTGTATTCAGACTATTATGAAGTTTTTAAATTTAAATTTAATACTAATTTAAATTCAGTATCTAGCTTTTGCTGAAAAGAAAACGGTCATTCTGACTCTAAATGATGAAGTAATTTAGAAGGTGATCTGATCTTTAGTGGTTGTCCCTACGACTGCCTCCAAATCAGATATTATTTTTGTTCTTAAAGTGCTGCAGATACAGTGAAGACATATTGCTCATCAGAGAATGCATTCTGACAATCAGGCTGGTCTAGATCTGTCCTCAGGTGAAAAGAAGAGGTTGTAACATCTGTGTTGTTCTCTCTCCTTATCTTCAGTTTTCAGTTGACTTATTCTGGATACTTTTTAAAATTTTAGTAGATATAATTAATATGTAAAATTAAAATATATTACCCACACTGTGCTCATTCTCTAAGATTATAAAAGGACTTTAAAAATGCATGTAGTTTTTTTTAAGTAATTGGAAGAGAAAACGTACTTTCCTTTAAATATACACTGAACATCTATGTTCTCCTAGAGTGGAAAGATGCAGCATTTGAGAAGTTTAATGATTTGTTGTGTTATACACAGACTATTACTTCCCTGCTATTTTTTTCTGTTATACACAGACTATTACTTCCCTGCTATTTTTTTCTGTTATACAACTTGTCTTTCAATGTGGTGGTGTGCTTTGCACTTTTGCTCCACATTAGCTAATTCTTTCAGTTGTTCATAAAAACACCAGGTATTTAAAATTGTTTAATATCAGCTAGAATTAAGCAGTACTGAGAAGCTGGATTAATGTATAGGTGTTGTTATTCAGGCAGTATGGAAGATAATTGAATGCTCTCAATACTCTACTGGTTTGCCCACTGCCTTGTGTCTTCTGCTTGTTTTCCTGAGTTGCTGTGATGGTCTGCAAAATCTAGGTTTTTTTCCTTTTTTTTTTTTCAGTCAGTTTTCCACATTGCTGTTGACGTTTCTCAGCAGCCATTTAAACTAATTAGTTTGATTTGTAGAGAAATGAATTTGGGGAATTTATATCATCTGTTACTATGGTTCTGTGGAGAGTGTGATTTGTGTTTGAGGGGCAGGGGTGAGTATTTGGGTTGTTAAATTGTTAGCTTGCTCCTTATAGACTTCAGCAAGTGCATTGAGGCTCAAATTCATGGGATTTTCGTATTCTAGTTAAGAATAAAGGACTTGCTGTGTTCAGGCAAAAGCAGCAGAGTTGCACAGAGTTGAAAGTTCCCATGAAAATAATATTTGTGAAGTCACTGTATACTTCTGGCAGAATTTACTCTGAAAATGTCTCTAGAGAGCCTCTAGGGTGTATCCATTTTTATTACAGAAATAACTGAAATTCTTGGTGCGTGTAGGTCCTTAGAAAAAAGCTGATTGCATTGTTCTTTTAGTATCATTATAGACTTTGGTTTTTCACTGTTGCAGCTGATACTGTATGTTGTTATCAAGTTTACACTATGCTAAAAATGATGGCTTAAAATAAAATCATTAAAATAATGCTTCATATTAAAATTATTTAATTATTTGTTTTTTTAATGACAGAGTATCAAATACTAGATCTTACAACAGAAACATTGACAGAAGTGGGTTTACCTATTCCTGTCCTCACTGTGGAAAGACGTTCCAGAAACCAAGTCAGTTAACACGACATGTTAGAATACACACAGGTAAGGCTGTGGAAGTAATTATTTTAATTTGCATTTGTTTTACAAAATTCAGTGAACCTGTGAAATGCTAGTCTTTTTCTCCCTGTTGGGACTTCAAATGCTATCAATACATTTCACTCATTAGATGCTGTTACCTCTTGGTTTAAAATAAACTTTTTTTATTTTCCTCTGCTTAGCAAATTTATATGCTTTTAAAATTTCTGTTCATATAATTGGAAACAGTTAAAAAAATTAAAGTACTCTATAGGTTTCATTTTTTACCAAATATCAGTTTTGGTACTTGCAGTTTCAATGAGCCCTAAAACGTGAATCACTAGGCAAGGGTGAGTCAGCTACTCCAAGTAAGATCTTACATACTCTAGAGAGCAGGTTCTAAAATTTACTGTCCCAAAAAGAGTGAAAGTGCATAAGAATTAATAATACTACTGAAATAGTGGCCTTGCATTTGTTTTTAAATTGATTTATTTGAAATTGCAAAATGATCTTGGGATGCGATAAGCCTAGATTGTAATTTTGGAAATTGAAGAAGTGCAAGTGGCTGTTCAAATTTCCAGAATGAATAGCAAATGGTTTTTTCTAAATTGCTGTCATAAATATGTGCATGCTTAACCCTTAAGCAGTTGAAATAATTGAAAAATACCAAGCACAAAATAAAAGTTTTGAAGTTTACAGACGACTAAGGGAATAGTTCTTAAGTTTCGACCAGCTATACATAGCATAGCAGGAGTTTGGCTTTAAACAGAACCTTTGCTGGAGGTGTTTCAGTGCTATGCAATATGTATGTATTTTTCATATATATTGAATAAATTGCTGTTTGCCTAGTTTTTAGCTAGTTCAAATATGCAGTTACATAAGCGTGCAATGTTGTTTGTATTAACAGTCGTTTCAGGCAGAGATGTGATGAGTTGCTATTTACAAGAATGGCTTTGTTTACCAAGGAGAAATAAAAATACCATTGCATGACTCTTTCTTAAGAATCTTTTTAAGTTCAACAGATCCAGTTATAGAATAGTAACACAAGAGGTCACCCTTGTACCTGCTTTTAAAAAATTGCTTCAAACAAATACCCAAAAAAAGGTCAGCGAAAATTGAGTATTTTAGAGTCTTGACTGTACTTGATACATTATTTTAGCTTATTCTAGTTGAAATTAAAGAAACAAGGTTATAGTTGGTTAAGGATGCTTCTTTAAAGCTTCAAAAAGTTCAAGGGCATTAATGGTTCTTTAGAAGAATAAAAAGACATTTGTCTACTTGGAAGCCAGAGACAGAAAATGCAGTCCTAATCTACACATGACAGTAGATAATTTGAAGTTCCAAGTAGCTAGCAAATGCTCATTTAATTTGTGAATTACTTTATTATTCTAAACCTGCAGACAATCCGTGTGGTGTTCAGTTGCTTGAGGTACTGTAACTATGTAGGAAAGGACAACCTTACTGTAAAGAATTTAGAATCCCAGTTTTTAATTGTTGAAAGAGCCTGTCTGTGCTACATGTGCAGCATTACATTAGTGTCTTAATTTGCAATACTATTTTTTATTTGTAACTAGTCATTTCAAGCACTTACACCCTTTTGGGAAAAAAATTAAGTCTCAGAGACTGCAATTCCCATACTAATAACTAAATAATAAGCCCCTCATTCCGCCTCTCAATCTGTGTTTTATTAAGTTATACTTGAGGAGTACAGAAATTCCACATTTCCACAGTGGAATTAAGGTTTAGTTTCTATAATGAGATTTACTTAAATAGGCACACTTAACCTGAAGTAATACTTCTCTGTGTCCACCAGCTCTTAGTGGAAGCTAAGCCTTTTACCTATGAAAGCCCAGCAGGAATTTTGTTATTGTATTTCAAGATGTGAATCAATGTTCTTTGTCTTAAAAACTAAACAGATCTTAAAGCATCTTCAAAACCCGTAAGCAGCAGAACAGAAAATATACATTCCTTCAGTGAGTTAAATGCTTGTAATCTATTTCAAAAAATAGCTGCCTTTATTCCAGACAACGTGAATTTAATTAAGAATTAATAAGTGTAAAGTAGATGTAATTACAGCAATATAACTAAAGTCATATAAAAATATTTATTACAGCTGCTTTAATGTACATTATCTTTAGTGCATGGTAGTACTTACTGGTGTAGCAGACATAATGTACAGAATGCTTGTAATGGTTTTGCTAAAGAAATTTGCAAAGGCAGTGTTTTCAAGGTCTTGGAGTTACCTCAGCTAAACTATTTAATTAAAAGGAAAAAAGGGTAATACTGAGTTCATAGCAGAAGTTCCCAGTAGTCAATTAAGACACATTTGTAAGAAACTGAAAGTTATTCTTAGTATCTGTATGTTTAAAATATGTAGCATGGTAATCTGTTTACGCACTTCTCTTATGTTCTGTCACCTACAATTCCTGCGAGTTTTTCGTGCCTAATCTGTGAATGTACAAATAACTGGAAGAATGCGCAACACTGAGATCACCAAAATTGGGAAATTGTGGCAGAGCATTCCTGTAGCAGTATTGCCTAGTTTTTGTTTAATGTTCAATAGCAATATGAGCATTCAGAGTCTTAAAATTATCTTCTGAGTGGGATTGTGTGATATCTCATATAATATTTTATTGCATATTTTCAGTAGATGGTTGTAAAGAGTGAACGGCTGTTAATATTTATTGGGGAGTGGGAACCATAGGCCATCTTCTGCAGTGTTACTGTAAGACTTTTTGAATTTTAAACTAAAGGTTAAATTTTTGATACTTATTTATTATTGTCCATTTACCCTCTGGTCCCTCTGTTTCAGTGGAGATATATGCATTCTATACAGTTTGGTATACAAGAGTGATGTATGTGGGTTTGTTGTTTCTTTTCTTTCAACCCCCTTTTGTTTCCTCCAGTGATTTTGCATAACAGCTTCTGAGATCTTCCAAACCACAAGTCGAGAGAATCCATTCTAAATAATTACTTTGTATAGATTTCCTTCATTTTAACCATTTTAACTGATAATCATCAGCTAGTTCACAAACCTTTTCATAAGGCTACATTGTCATCAGAGTAGGTGCTGAGGTTGATGGCTGAGGTAAACAATTTTCCTTGAAAACCCACTAATAAAATGTATTTGCATGTATGTACAGATGTCTCTAGGCAAGGTTATATTTTAGCTGCTACAATTTTTCTTTTAAATACAGGAAACTGCTAACACTTATTGGAAGCTCCTTATGCTCCTCTTCCTCCTCTTCCCTTTCCCTTGCAGGTGAAAGACCATTCAAATGCAGCGAGTGTGGGAAAGCCTTTAACCAGAAGGGAGCTCTGCAGACTCACATGATCAAGCACACAGGGGAGAAGCCCCACGCCTGTGCCTTTTGTCCCGCAGCCTTTTCCCAGAAGGGCAATCTGCAGTCGCACATACAGCGAGTGCATTCGGAGGTAAATACAATTAATTATGCCTTGGTACTGACATGTCCTGTTTAATTGTTGCTGTTCCTATGCGCTCCAGTGCTGTCTGCAGCCAGTATAGATTTACTGCTGTAGTATAGATTGGAGTTGGCTGGTTTGACCAGCGAGCTTTCCTAAATTGCTTGATCTGAATAAATGTGTACTTAGGAGAAGTAGCAAAACCTTCATTGGCCATTGTGTTTTCAGTACATGGATAGATTAGAAAGTAGTGGGTTTAGGTGTATAAAAATGTACCTGTGTCTGTCCTGGGAGAATGAGGACTAGATTCAGATGAAAGTAAACCAAAAGCATCAAAGCAGAAAATGGTGAAAAATTTCAAGGCCAAACCCACTAACTCCATCGTAGAGCTTACTTGCCATTTGTCTTTGAAGTATATGTCTTGCAGCCTTTTTCAGGAGTTTTTTGGTTACAGGTAGAAGAAAATTGCAGAATAAGATAAAATTTGTTGTCTCAGATCTCTTTATGCCTGTTGTTCTTCTCTGTGATAGACAGGTTTTTAGATTCAGAAGGTACTGCTATGATAAAGTAATGCAATCTTCTGAGCAACATAGGCTGTGCAACTTTGTTCAGTAATTTCCTTACTGACTTTAGTGATTTTTGGTTGGAAATACCCATAGAAAGGGACCTAGTTTTGATTTGTAAGGTATGAAGTAATAGAGGCAGCTTTTTTTGCATTTTTTTTCTTTTTCATGGGTGCAGAATAGCATCTCTGTTCTCACTCTTCCCCTAACTCTGTCCAAGATTTGTGTTCCCGTTTTCCATTTTTGTGTTACAACGGTAGATATTTTGGGGATTTTTTTTTTACTAAGGATTTTTTAGTGTGTTAGTTTCTTCCTTTTAGGATGTGCCTTAGTATATGGATATGTCTTAGTAGTTTGTATTACACTTGGTTATATTAAATCATACAACTTTGAGTCCTGTGTCCAGTTTTGGACCCTTAAATTCAGGAAGGACATTGAGGTGCTGGAGCGAGTCCAGAGAAGGACAATGAAGCATGTGAAGGATCTGGAGCACAGGTCCTATAAGGAGTGCCTGAGGGAGCTGGATTGTTTAGCCTGGAGAAGAAGAGGCTCGGGGGGACCTTATCACTCTCTACAACTACTTGAAAGGAGGTTTTAGCCAGGTGGGGTTGGTCTCTTGTCGCAGGTAGCTAGTGATAGAACAAGGGGACATAACCTCAAGCTGTACCAGGGGAGGTTTAGGTTGGATATTAGGAAGAATTTTGTCACAGAAAGGGTGATTAGGCATTGGAATGGGGTTTCCATTGAAGTCACCATACCTAGAGGTGTTTAAGGAAGACTGAATGTGGCACTTAGTGCCATAGTCTGGTTGACAGGATGGTGTTCGGTCATTAAGGTTAGACTTGAGGATCTCAAAGGTCTTTTCCAACCTGATTGATTCTGTATCTTTGTGTGACTAGTCGTTTTCAGAGTTCACAGCTCCCTGTATGTGATAGCTTTTGCTACATAAAAAAATACATTGATTTCATTGATTACATAATTTACATTTACTTTTTCCAAACCAGATTGTTAGGGATGAAGTAAAAAATATTTTTTACTTTTTTCTCTGTTACTCAGTTTTTCTGTAAGAAAGAAACAAGCTGTGGGATAAGGTGCTTTAAATAAAATTCTACCTCTTGATCACATCCTATGCTTCTGTGGTCCTGAGCCTACATTTTAGCTATGGGTAATTTATTGATTTTTTTTTTTTAATTTTTTTTCTTTCTTGGTCTTGCTGTGTTTTCTTCAAGCATGCATGGAATTCTATGAATTCTTTGTTTTATCCTGAGACAATTACAAAATAACTGGTGATAATGAATTACAGGCTGTTCTCATTTTGTAAGGCTACAACTCTGTTGAGTTGTAGCACTATTTTATTACTTGATGTCTCTTTTTGAAAGTCTTGTTAGCAGGTCAGTGTCAAAAAATACAAAATACCATACTATATTGCAAGTACTTCAGTGTGTTTTCTTTAGAATACTTTGTTGCTCCCTTTATATTGCAAGTCCTGCACTGGCTATTACTGCTGTGATAGACTGAGAAGGGGAAGTGAGGAAGGTTGAACTCTGCAAATTTAGCTGTTTTAATTACCTTAACGCCTTGGTCTGAAAGTCCCAAACAAATTGCTGCTGGTCACTTTCTTATTCTGTGTGTTTTAATTCAGTTCAAACTACATATTAAACTTCCCTACCCTTCGCTGTGTTGCTTTTATCTGCATTTTTTTGTCTTTGTATTTCAGAAGGACCTTTTGTGTTATGTACGATGTTTCATCTTCTGACACATCTTAATTGATAAAGTTGCATTTCAGTTTTGCTTCTAAGTGTGGAACAGTAGGAAATTGTAAAGAGGGAAAAGTCTGCAGTATCATTTGCCAGATGACATTTGTTGTGCTGTCTGGTGCTTCCCAACGTTGAGAAGTGGTAATAGGCAGTTATAGTCATGCACGTAGATTACAGTTGATTTGATATCCAAGATATACCAGATTAATTTCATCAGTAACTTGAAAAAATTAACCATTTTACTCTCATAATCCCACAGTATATTTGTTATATGGATAAATAATGAAACTTATACTTGGTAAATGCGGGGGAAAATTACTTAAATTTTTTGTGTTTTTTTTTTCTTTAAGGTGAAGAATGGCCCTACATACAACTGTACAGAATGTAGCTGTGTCTTCAAAAGCTTGGGTAGTTTAAATACACATATCAGCAAGATGCACATGGGTGGTCAACAGACTTCTGCGAGTGCTTCAACAGATGTATCTCATGTTACAGCAGTAAGTTTTGTTTGGTATATTTTGAAAATGCCTTTGAGAGTTTAATCAGGTCTATATCTTAATTCTGGTAATTCTTTGGATAGGTTAGAACTTCTCGACCTGTAGCTTCTTTTGTCTTTGTCATGTTTTGTGTGATTTCTGGTATTAATTTTCAGGATTAAATGTTGGGAAAATGTAAATTGGCAAAGTATATGCAAAAAAGGATTTACAATTTGAGGATTTGGTTGAAAATACAGCAGTTCAATTCTAAAACTAAGTAAAATATAATTCTGGTCCTTACAGATTATGTTAGCCTCCCAGATAATATAAACTAATGGGGAAGTTTAAATGTAACAGTGAAATTTAGAACTATTGAAATAATGTATTAGTTGCCACACATTTTCAGAAATTGTTTATATAAATCTAGTCCATATAAATACATAGTGGATCCTTCTGTGTGTTTCCAGTAATTTGTTTTGAATGTTAGCTTCTTACATGGCAGATTATAAAGCAAAACTATAGCTTTATTGGAAGTACTGAATGTTTTTCTTTCTTTACCCAGATACAACTAAAATTCAGAAAATGCTTCTGATTTCAGAAGACTATTCTATTTTTTGAGCCAGTGCATATTTAATTTATCATAGTACTCTTTTTTTCTTTGAATAGAACTACCTTTTCTACCTTTATTCCACTTTGTTTTGCTTAATTCCCAACTTTAATGTTCAATGGGTCACAGAGTGACCAGTCTTCGGAGAGTTAAAATTTGAAGTCTCAACTTCATTATGCAGCTGTATCTTGTTGAAAACAACTGTCTAGTAATGTTGTTTGGAGCACCATTTTTTTAGATGCCATTTCCTTCTTCATGTTAATTCATTAAATAAGGCTAATGTGGCCTATTTGCTTGCAAATACTTATATTCTCTGTGTCTTTTTGTGCATTTCTGCATTCACAAGCCTAATCTTAAAAGCAGGATGGTAGAGAATTTCTTTATACTACCTCATGTTTGTTTTCCCTGGCTAGCTGTGTTCTTATTGTTTTGTTTTGCTTAAATATTTTGCATTTACCTAGCATATTGATATTACAGCAGTGTGTTGTTATCTTTGCTGCATGCATACTTCTCTGCTTCCGTGAAACAGTATGGCAGATACGCCTCCATGCAATAATATAAGCAGAGAGAGAAGGGAGAAAAAGTCTCTCTCTAAAAAGAGATGTCAAGAAGTTTAACAAGGGAGAGCAGAGATAATAAATGATGTGGCAGTTGCATATCAGGGAGCATTATGCTTTTTATGTGCAACTTCTTATCTGAAACTGCAGATACCTAATTATTTGTATTTTTTTATTGCTTTAGAAAGCTGACACATTATTAGGTTAGCACTAGCATTCTTTGATTAGAACTGGCCTTCATTCTGCTCAAAACTTGCAGAGCTGCTTTAACAGCAAATCTCCAGTATAATTATTCTATTCTGAAGTTTGCAATAGGCTCTGTCATCCCTTGTTATGTACCTGGGGATAGGCAATGATTTTGTCCTTATTAAGTACACATTCCAAAAGCTGAAGTTTCCTGAAAAGCTGTGCTACCAAAGAATGCACTCTTGTGTGGTACATGAGTACATCTTGTAAATTATGGTTACTGTAAGGCTGTTATTTTTCTTTTTCTGGATCAGTGCTTATAGCTAAGGTATTGGTTTCTGTAACTTGTGTTTATTTAATGTATATAAACTATGAAGCAGTGATGGTGATTTTGTGTACTTTTGTTTCTCTATCTCAGTTCATTTTTCTGGGAAAATGAACTGTACCACTTTTCTGCATTGTATTAGTCATGTTTTTCTTCTTTTTGACAAAGGTTTAAAATACTTTATTTTCATTTCTTTGTAGGACCCTGTCACCCAGCCTTTAACAACATCCCCTGCTAATCTTTTGCAACCTGTTGATAACAAATGGAAGAATGTAAGTGTAAAGTTTTTGTCACATTTGTGTGTCAAGACTAGAAGTGGGAGAAACTTTACAGAATTCTGTAAATTTTCATTTAACTGGTGAAAAATGATATGCAGTGATCCTCTATGATAAGTTGACCAGCTAACATGTGAAGAGAAGCTCTTTAGTGAATGCACCTGGTTATGTAGAGACAGAATAGGCCTTGAATGGATTGTATTCCCTCATTTGTTTACACAGTCATGATTTTGCATATAATTCTGTTCAGTAGCTCTTCAAAATAGAGCCGAACGCTCTTCTGTATAAAAGGACCAGAAGCAAGTAAGGACTCTTAAAAATATTGGATTGTCCTACCCCTCTGCCTTTACTTTGCGTGGATACCATGGTTTGGGTTAGAGGAAAGGAGTTGTGTTCATAATGGTTGAGCTGGTTGGAATTTGGACAGCGGTGGAACTGTGGGGTTCAGGACGAGCTGTGGAGCTGGGGTAGGAGGATGCAGGACTGACTTTTTGGAACCCCATAGCAAATAGCTGTGATGCACAGGCAGGTCTGTATGTGCCAGTCTCACTGAGAATGCTGGCATGTTTTTTTGCAGCTATCTAGCATCTTGTTTGTCACCTATTGATTGCGGCGTGGTATCTTAGTGACAGACATCTGACTTACAGTCTCCCTTTCCCCAGTTCAGCTACTGATTATCTTCTGATGTGCTAGAATCCATGAAACCAAGAACTAGGAAATATGGCATTACTGCTTTAAAGTCATTATAAACAGTCCACTCACTTTCTTTTTATCTTTTACTGTAAATTCATTATTCCAGGACCACTTAACTTAGGGCTGGACAGAACTGATGTGAACTAATTGGTTACAAATATTTGTTGTATTAAATAATTATACTATTTCCTTGTGAGATTTTAAAAATATTGAAATAGCTTTCCTTCAAAAGTTTAAGTAATTTTTTCTTTTTTTTTTTTTAATCAGTTGAAATTAAATTTCAAAAGTCTTGCATGGTCTCCTGCATTTCTCCAGGTGGGAATTAGGCCCTTGTGTCATATTCTCTGGTTCCCTGTACTTGATGGAGCGTGCAAGGTTTTTTCCTAGTGTGAGGTATGAGTTGGAAGCAGTAGATCCCATTGCCTCCTCCTCCCAGAATTGCCTGAAATTGCCAGGCATCTTTCCAACCACTCTGTTCCCAACCTGTGGCAGTACATGGGGTTCTTGTGACCCAAGTGCAGGACCCAGCACTTGGCCTTGTTAAACCTCGTACAACTGGCCTCTGCACATCGATCTGGCCTGTCCAGATCCACTGTTGTCTATTCTCTGTATTTCCTTCTGCAATTTTTGCTGTTTTCACTTGCTTGTTTCTATTGTTCACTATCATGAACTGTCTTCAGTAATACAGGGGAAATCAAAACCATCAAAATTCTTAAAACATGCTATGACATATTTTATTATTGAAGAGATTCAAGGTACATTAGCTACCCTGCCCAACAGATAAAATACTTCAGGGTGACTTGATCTGCTGTTTTGAAGAAGAAGGAAAAATCTATAATCTCATTAATAGAGAAAAGAAAAATAATTTTGAGGATTGAGGCTAGACAAATTGACACTTTGAAATAAAGTGTGGAATTTTAGTGTGGATAGTTTACTATTGGAGCCACATGTTAAAGTTGAATGGTAACAGAAAAAGTTACCACAGTAAAGTGCTTGATTTAAAGAACTGCTCTAATTTTTGTGCAGTTACTATACTTGAAGGAGTAATTCACTCAGAGCAGTCAAGTGGTCTGTGTTACACAGCAGATCAGACAAACCAAGGGTCATCAAAAGATCCACTATTCCAGTTGAACAACTCTGGAATTATGGAGCAGTAATAAAACACTTCATTTTCTATTCTGTCTTTAAAATGGGGTGTTAAAATGAGACCTAGAAAGGGTCTTCTGAAGCTTTTTATAATGAACAGCATATCTTAATAATAATGGTAAAAAACTTCATATGTGTGCATATGTGTATATTATTATTCAAAAAAGGTAACCTCTATGAGATTGTATATAAACTGCTGTATAATACACAGAACACACTGGCTAAATACATATAATGCTGTAATTTTCATGTTGAAGATGTTGTTGAGCAGTTCCTTCATTAACAATTATTTTTTCTCTTGTTACAAGGAAGAGAAGTTTAGAAATGAAGGTGAAAAAGAGTCTTTATTTCCTATTTAAAAAATAAATACCAAGGCTTTATATCACTTTTTTTTCTTCATATTTTTTGCTAAGGTAGCCTAAGATACAATTATCAAATCAAAGCTTAAGAAATTACATTTTTAAACTTCAGGTTTATGTAGTATTTTTACAGAGCCTGATGCCTATTTAAATGTTCAGAGTATAAAGAGATTCTTCTAAAGCTAAGAGGTTTTGAAGGTTGAAAGTTGAAGGGGAACAGTTGGTAGCTTGTTCTGAAAGGTTTTGATTTCATATAGAAAAAATCCCAACTAATAGAAGGTTATTTTTTTCCAAAGGACCTGCTTGAGATAAATGTGAACTTTGAAAAGACAACCATGTCAGTGCTGTTTATTTGTTTTGGAATTACTTTTCATGTGGCCTCTACATGTGGAATTCTGTAATTGATGCATGTGTTTTGTAAGCTGGTTGAAGGTTTAGTAGTTTAATAAATTTAATTAAAGCTGTGAGCTTACAATTTAAAGTTTGATAAGGACTCCAAAAAAGAGATATACAGAAGCAATTCTTTAGTGGAGTGAGCAAACCTTGAATGACAGCTCTGTATAATCCTTATGTCTTATACAAAGAGACGTCTTTGTAGTGGACAGTTAACAAACATTTCAGATAAGGGACCTGGACAGGTGAGTTCATAATATATACTTTTCATCTTCCTTTACAAGTGTACTGCTGTATATTTCAGGCCACACATTTTCGGTCTCCACTTCTTCAACAGACAGAAAACCAGGTGTCTCCAGCTGCTGCTCACCAGGGTCAGCAGGCTGTCACTGATGTCATTCAGCAGCTCCTTGAGTTATCAGAACCAGGTCCTGTAGAAAATAACCAACCTCAACAACCTGGTCAACAGCTCAACATTGCGGTGGGAATCAGTAGAGATATTTTGCAGGTAAGAGCTCAGTGTGAGAATAGCTTTACACTTCAGTGGTTTCTTTCTCATATTGTAGTGAAAATGATTCTGAGTATTTTCAATTATAGCATTCCTTATGTATTTCTAAATCATTTATCAGTAAAGAAAAAAGTGTAAGGATCTACTGAGTGGGTATGGAATGCACCAAGATACCTTTTTGTATAATAATGCAAAAGAAGGGTTATAAAAATTGATTATATGGCCTAGAAGAAAGCTTTAAGTGTACACACCCATACATGAATATTTTTATTGATCACTTTAGCTTTTTTTCCTGTTGCCTGGAAGCAGCTTGTGGCATGTCCTTAGGTAATGCTATGCTTAAATTATGATGACATTTAAGAGGGGAAAAATATTTTTATCTGGCTGAAAAATGAGAATGTATACATTGCCTTTACCCTTTCTAATTAATAAGGGCTATTTGACTATTTCCTATTTGTGCAAGAAATTTTTTTCCGAGGTCAGTTTTTCCTAAACTATTAGATTCTGTCCTTGATATATCTGGCAGTAGGAGACAGTATGTAACAGAAGAGAGGCAGGGTGGTGAATCAGCTATGTGTGCTTGTTGTGCAGCCTGCACCACGTAAAGGCACAAGCAGAATGGGACCGGGCAGAGAATAATATTCTTTAATATTAGCTGTAGCCTGCTAACCTTGAAGATATCTTTTTATCTCTAACCTTTTAAGTACCATTTAAATTTCTTTTTGGAAGACCCAAATATTACATGTAGCTATGTGCGGGTTCACCATGTTACCTGTGCTGAGTTCTGTAATGTCTGGAGTGTGTTGTGTAGTTGCAGAAAATAATGTGATACATAACTATTATCCTGATAGCTATTTAAACAAAAAATGTTGTTTCCTAAAAGGCAGCTGTCGGCAAATGAATAACTGCTGGAAATGCAACTTAAAATCTTAACAGAAAATCAGAAGTCAGTGTTGTGTAATAATGTGTAGGTTTGAAATCTAGCTGAAATTCTGTGAGAATGAGACTTCTAATTGTTTTAAATATATTTTCATTATATCTTCCAAGTAGTTGTTTGAGAAAAGTTGGGGTAACTGTGGAATGTTTCTTTCTTAATCTAGAAGTTTTTTTGTTCTTTTTTAGCAAGCGTTAGAGAACAGTGGGTTGTCTTCAATTCCTGTCTCTGCACATTCTACTGACTGCAGCCAGGCTAAGACTGCTGGACCCCAGGATCAGAACCCAGATGTCCCAACTCTCTCAAATCATCAAGCTGATTCTAATAATGCAGAACAAGATAAGGAGCAAGAGAGTACAGATAAACAAGATAAAAAAGAAAAAAAGTTTATTAAGAAAAAATCACCATTTTTGCCTGGTAATGTTGCCACTGCTTTCTACTTGTGCTGTAAAGACTGTAGTATTTATGTTTATGGCTTTATAAAGGTATTCTCCAAAATGTGTTGTGGATCAGTGATGAACTTTATTGCTCTTATCTCAAACACAGTGTAAGATATGAACAATAGTATCTATAACAGATTATATAAGCAATAATGCTTCATGTCACCTGTCTCTGGAATAACAGTACTGATGTGATATTTTCACCATAAATGTGTGTTGATATTCTGCTTCCCTACTGTGTTGTGTTTGTGCAAGCCTGGGTTTTGTCTATGTGTGCTTAAATGCAATTTCATTTTCAAGATTGCTCAAGCTTTATGGCTGCTAGAAGTTCGTTCCAAGTAAAGCCATCATACTTTAGTGGCTTGCCTGGTAGAGACAGCACTACAAGAAGCCATTGAGCTCTGTTTGTAGTATCTTCATAGATACACTGATGTTGCTTTTTCTTTTGCGAGGGACAAGGGATGCGGAAATTGATCCAGAGTCAAAAATTCAGCTTGTTCAGCCTAACTGTGGTAAAAATCAACATTAACGCTTTCCTCTGGTAATAAGTATTTTGTTGCTTGTGTATAACCTTAATAACTCTCTAGCTCTGGCTGCAAATAAAAAAGTCACTGCTGTACAGTCAAACACTTTGACAGGTCAAAACCTTTGTTTTTTGATAAAGTATTATGACCTCAGTGTATTGACATGGTTTACAGGAAAAAAACCACTATGTAAACAGATTTAAATGAGCAATTATCGGATATTGAACAACATATATAAATAAAGAACTCTTGATAGGATTTAGAAGGGTTTTTTTGTTTGGTTTTTTTTGTTGTTGTTGTTGTGAAAAAGCATCCTGTTGCCTTAGGATAGAGCTTAGGGTTCTTGGATCATAAAACAGCTTTTGTGAAAAAAAACCCTAGCCTTAAATTTTAAATCTATCAGAAGGGCTTGTTGTGCAATTTTTATTCCTTTAGAAGATTGCAAAAGGTAATTTAAGTCTGAATTTGCAGAAGAGAGGGTTGTGCTAAGTATCTCCTCCAGTTAGATAAGTGTTTAGTACTTAAAATAATTTTGTGTGGTTATGGTTGAAGACTTAGTCATTGTTGGATAATTTTCTTAGATATAGTATTTGTAAGTTAACTGGTATATTATGTTGCATTGCAACTACATTCTACATTTTTAAGCGGCATAGAAACTGCATTGTTTGAATTTCAAGAGGAATATCTTGGGTTTTGTTTTTGTCATTCCAGCCCATCACCAGTTTTGTGAAGCAGAATGTATCTGATAGAGAAGTTAGTCATCTACAAACTGTGTTGTGATGGCATCTATTTCACAAAACGTTTTGTTTGTGTAGTTTAATTGCTTTGTATAATGATGTCAATATAGTGGGATTTTTGAAGAATTGTTAAAAGGTTTAAAGCACATTCATTTTGATATTCCTTATTTTAGGTTCTATACGTGAAGAAAATGGAATAAGGTGGCATGTTTGTCCATATTGCTCTAAAGAATTTAAAAAACCAAGTGATCTAGTGCGCCACATTCGCATTCATACCCACGAGAAGCCATTCAAGTGTCCCCAGTGTTTCCGCGCCTTTGCAGTTAAGAGTACTCTAACAGCGCACATAAAAACACACACTGGCATCAAAGCTTTCAAGTGCCAATTTTGTATGAAAAGCTTTTCCACCTCAGGGAGTTTAAAAGTTCACATTCGTCTACATACAGGTAAGGATTCAAAATTGCTTTTCTTATTTTCTATGATGTGGGTGAAACCTTGAATGAAAAAAGACAATGTGAAATGTGTAAGTTATAGACATGTCTATCTTGTCATTGTTATCTATCAGAGAATGTATAATTTTTAGTGTCTTATATGATGAGTAATTTTTTGTCATAACTCTCTAGTGTTTCATGTCTTTGAGACTTTGGTCTCTTACAAAAGCCATTTGGTTTTCTGATGATGAGTCAACTGTTGTTCCTTTTTAATATCACTACTGTGAGTGTATTTAGTTGTGCTTTTTAAAGAGTCATCGTCTTTCATATTTACTCTGTGTTTTCCCTCCCCTTCCCTACACTTTTTGATAATTTCACTATGTCGTTCAGGACTCTTTGGTTACTTCCCATTTTATCTTCAACATTGAGGTGTTGCTTGATGTCTTCACCAACTTACCTGTTTTCAGTATCTTACACTGCATATCCTAAACTCCTCTGTTCATATGGTCATCATACACAATGTCCTCAATATCTGTTTTTCTGTGGCTGAACTATTCTCTCCATAGAGAAAAATTAATTTTCTGCATTTGGTGGACAACCTAGTTGTTTTTCACTTTTCTGTTCTTATTCTGCTGAATAATGTTTCAGCAAGATAAGCTCAGAAACGCGCTGCTCTTTCCTTTCATTCCTGTTTATGTAATTACCTTCTGCAAAAGTGTCATTCATTGACAAGGTGCATTTGGTGTTCAATGTGTTTTATAGTTCGATGCATTTAATCCATGAAATATCAATGTTCAGTTCTTCTGCAGAAAGTTTTTCACTGTTTTTTTTTTGTAAACTTGCAAACCAGCAATTTTTCTTCTTGTTTAAAGTTAGCCTTTACTTTATAGAAAAACTCAGACTCATTCAGAGTGGCAGAAACACTATGTGGCTTGGAAAATAGGCAGTCCATTGTTTATGGAACTGCTCTGTGGTTTCATATGATGTACTAGCTACTGTATTTTGAAGTACATTTTTGTACCTTTTCCACCTGTGATTTTATCAAGCTTTCTGTATAATACCTGGTCATGTTTGCTAGCCTTTTTAAGTCACTAGATTTCCCCTTGAACAAAAGCTGAAAGTTGTTCAGCCTTGCCTGTCTCTGTAACTTATTAAGTTCTCCAGTATCCTTTTCAAGGAGAGATTTCTACTGGATTTTGCATTACAGAATTCTTTCTTTGGTATTTCCAGTTGGCATGCTTTTTTGACTGCTGTCAAACAGTGTTGACGTTTTCAGAGGCTGATCTTGAATTTCTTTAATTTTGTCACGACTATTCCTCTGTTTTATCCTATTATATAACACATTTGCCTGTGTGTTTTCTGATTCCTTTTTCTCACAGTTTTTTAAAAGTTTGCTTTGGAAGGACTTTTACCTGGTACCTGCAATTCTTAGGATAGCTTCTGGAACATTTGAAAATTGCTGTCACTTTTGCATCATTCAGTTTTTTGATAACAAACTGATTTAAGTCATTGTGTTTCAATCAGTTAGAAGTTCAGCAATTTAATTGTTACTTTTGATTGGGTTTCATCAACCTGTTTTGAAAACCTATTTAAGAGTAGACACAGTGATAGAAAACAAAAAAGCAAATACAGAAAAGCGAATCGGTATTCTAAAGCTACATTTCTAGATTGATGGAAATAAAATCCCAGACTAATCTTTTTTCTTTTTAATCTTTTGCAGGTGTTAGACCTTTTGCTTGTCCTCATTGTGACAAAAAGTTTAGAACATCGGGCCATCAGAAAACTCATATCACTTCACATTTTAAACATACTGAACTAAGAAAGCTGCGACATCAACGTAAACCTGCAAAAGTTCGAGTAGGAAAGTCGAGTGGTCCAGTACCAGACATTCCTTTGCAAGAGCCCATACTCATAACTGATTTAGGTAAGGAGCAAGTAAATCTGTACTCTCTTGAAATTTGGATTTCACTGGAATATAAAAGTCACAGTTCAATCAAGCAGACATTCAGAGCTTACTCATAAAGGTGCACTTTGAAATAATAAATAATCAGAAACAATCAGGCTTCAGAAAAGTGCCATATTTTATACTTTGCTTGCACTAAAATTAATAAGAAGGATATTTGTTATTTATAATGAATTTGTGTAATCCTTACTGGAAAAAAAAAAGTGCGTTTTTACATTAGGAGAGGAGTTTAATTTAACTACTATTAGGCTGCTGGTATAGAAAAGATGACAGACAGTTCATGACTTAGGTTCTTCTTAACATGATCATGTTTATTACAGATTACAGATATTAGTGAATCAGTGTGTTACATGATTTTAGAGTGTTTGTTATAATTATGACCTCAGCGGAATTACTGGTAATCATTAGTGGTCATATTTCAAAAAGGGCAGAAAAATTCTCAAACCTGCTATGGAGAATTCATACAGTTCCTTTAATTCTGTTGTAGAATAATTGTCACAACATTATGTGAAACCACTTTTTGGAAGAAAGTTAGTTGTTGTACAGCCCAGTTAGTTGTTGTACAGCCCAATCAAGACATTATATTGTTGTCCAGTAGAGGTCAATGTAGGGGGTGAGGCGTTTACTCTTAGTTTGACTTGCCAGTCTGTGAACTCCTGCCTTCTCTGTTGTGTAATCGTCTTTACAGTGGGATCTTATATTGCTAATGTCTTTAGTATATACTGATAAAATCTTTATCACTCTTTAAAAATACTTTTGCTTCCACTGCTTGCAGGAGTTACTGAAAGCAAGAGTAAGGGTTATTTTGGTATCAGATATGAGAAACTTAAATTTTTGGGGCAGAAGCAAAACTTAGCTGACAGCTTCAGACACTCCAATCACACAGTATTTCTTTCTTGAATGAACCCTGGAAACTGCTATAGTGCTTTTCCCTGATTTTAAAGAGCCACACTTCAGTACAATTAACATCTGCACATTGAAAGTCCGGTTTTTGGAAACAGATGAATCTTAACAAGAAATGCTATAAAAATTTTTTTTCTACAGGTGCTGATAACACCTGAACTTCACTGATATTGGAATTTTCAATGTAAAAATAAGAAGTTGTACTATTTGTCTAGAGGGTGTCATGTTGTTTTCAACCCCCAACAATATTTCCATGTTTGTACCCCCCCACTCCACAAAAAAAAAAAAAAATTGAGTTCTTTTAGAGTTGTCAAGAACCTAGTATTGTTGCTCAGTAATAGTGTTAATCTTTGACTGGCATCTTTGTTGATACATATATTGCTTTTTAAAATAGTCTTAATTTTTCTAAAAGCCTATGAAAAAAAGTCTACAAATTCTATCTGTTTCAGTGTTTGTTTCATTTTACTTCAGTAGTTTATGGTACTTAATGATTAGGAAATGCAAAAAAAGTTACTGGAATTTTTTTCAAGGCTTTACTACAGTTCCAAAGATGGAACTAATGGGAGGAAATACACTTCTTTATAAAACATTTCCATTTGGATTTATTTTGCTGACATGCTATGTCCGGAGTAGCACGAGTTTTAACTATTCTAACAGTTCAGAGAAATGTTTCATTTATCTGAGTTGAACAGGTTAAGGAAGTAGTTTGGGAGTGTTTTATTAGAAATCAGTTATTTATATAATATAGTTATTTCTGATTTATTATGTATCTTATTGGAAATTTCTGCAGACTAGAACCATTGTGACCTGGTATACGCTCATAAGTTAGCTATAGTTGATTTAAAGAGTTAATTGAATTATTCCAATCTTGTAAGATCGAAAATAAATTTGAGAGTAAATATTTGTCATATGGAGTTTCTCCTCTTCTGATTGGTAATACTTGTGTCATCTCCTGTATACTACTGCTAATTATCATTAAAGAAGAATGCCAGAAGTAATTTTAAAAGTAGGGGTTTGGGTGTGGATTTGGTGGGTTTTTTTGGTTTGTGGTTTGTGTTTTGGGGGTTGTTGTTGGGATTTTTTGGAGGTGGTTTTGGTTTATTTTGGTAGGAGTTTTCTTAACAGAACATGATTCTACTACACTAACTGAGTTAGTTGGGGAAGGCAAAGCAAGTTTTGGCATTTACGTATATATAAATATATGTATGTATAACATACATGTAAAAACATTTTCAAGTCTGAGAGATATAGTTTTTGGGTTTTATTGTTGCCATCTCTTCTTAAAATTGAGAGAATTCTCTCTCCTTGTCCTCTGCTCTTTTCAATTACATTTGAAACTTAGCAGAAACCATTCAGGCTTTCCTTTATGAATATGAAACATAACAAGCTAGATGAAACAGTCTGAAGAAGGAAAATACAATATAAATGGCTTTTGTGGTGAATATTTAGGACCATTAAGAGATCTCTTTGCATATTTGTTGAAACTTTTCATCATTCCATCAACCATTGTATTATTAGTATTGTGAGGGGTACTTTTGAGTTCACAGTTGTGTGAATGATGATGAGTTGGTTTACTTGAGAAGTCTGCTATTATCCCCATTCTGTCATGATGTTTGGGGTTATACCCTTCTGTTGATTGCTTCTGAGACAGCCTACTGCACTAACATTTCAATGAAACCTAGAATGGTGGGTTGCAGGGGACCTTAAAGATCATCTATTTCCAGTCTCCCTGTAATGGGCAGGGAAACCTTCCACTAGACCAGGCTGATCAACACCTTGTCCAACCTGACCTTGAACACTTCCAGGGATGGGGCATCCACAACTTCCCTAGGCAACCTGTTCCAGTTAATCACTACCCTCACTAACATCTAATCTAAACCTATCCTCCTTCAGCTTAAAGTCATTACCCCCTGTCATATCACTACATGCCCTTTAAAAAAGTCCCTACCCATGTCTCTTGTCCAGCCCTCTTTAGGTACAAAAGGCTGCTGTAAAGTCTCCCTGAAACCTTGTCTTCTCCAGACTGAACAAGTCCAACTCTCTCAGCCAACTGGACATTTAGTAGTGGGAACTTCAAACTGAATTTCCAAAATGACACCTGAGTGACTTCAGGGACCAGTGTGTAAAAAGCATTTGTTTAAAAACATTGGTTTCAGGTTTTGGGGTTATTTTTTTACAATAAGTTTTTGGAGGCACTCAGAGAATTAGCAAAATTGACTGATTAGCTGAAGTAGATGTATAAGTACAACAATTTTTAAGGGACTACTTTTATCCTTTAAGTAAAGTCAGGTAATCATGGTGTTTTATGCTTTCCATAAAATGCATATTATAGTTATAGTATACATCTGGGATACACTGATTAAATATCACTTGGTTAAGGTCAAGGTTGGAAGAAGATATTATTGGATCAGCAGTGAATTCGTATCTGTCAACTTTTTTAAAAGTTAATGCTTATTTTGGACATGGACACTCACTGTAATGAGGTGGACCTCTGGATAAAAGAAGAACTATCAGTAAAATAGCATGTGCAGTGTAGTATATATAGTGCTAAATAGATGTATGCATAATTTTAAATATGTGCTGGAAACATACACAGTCTTTATATTTTTGGATACTCTAAGTTTAATCATGCTTTCTTTGCAAATGCTAGCTCTTCAGACTACTACAGCTTTGGATAACTTTACCAATTAATTTTTCCTTTTTTTTGTGCATGTGTTTATGTGTACAGGTCTTATCCAGCCAATCCCAAGGAATAGCCAGGTCTTCCAAAATTATTTTAATAGTAATTTTGTGAATAATGCAGAGAGACCATACAAGTGTTTTTATTGCCATCGAGCCTATAAAAAATCTTGTCATCTAAAACAACACATCAGGTAAAATAAACACAATGAAGAAAGGAAATGTATGTAATATGAAGTTTATGGAAAAGCATGAAATTTATATAGTATTCACTGAAAAGACTTCTTTTTTCTTACCATCTCTTAAAACAGTGAACCAGTGGTAATTGCTTTTTTTCTGCTAAAGTTGGAGGAAGCTTTGGACTAATTCATATCTGTATGTGGTCCTAGCAATGCAAGTGTTCGGTGTGCAGTTTAGTTTATTAACATTTGGACTGTTTCTTTCCTAAACTGTGTATAGAAAATAGCAAGCATTGCTTGTGAATTCTTGTGGTAGTTTTGTAATTGCATGCTCCAGATTGTCTGCTTTGTATGTAACTCCTGGTTTCGAGAAGGAAAAATTTAGAATGGAGGAGAAGCAGTGGAGGTAACTAATCCAACCTTCCTTTGAAAAGAAAGGGTAGCTTGAAAATGAGATCAAATTGCAGTTTTACAGACAGTGAGCTTTGACATTAAAGTTATTGAAGTTTTAATTTCTGGATTTTCTTAACTGAGGCTTCTTCCATCCATACAACTGTCACCTTAGTTTTGTTTATTTTGCTCATTTTAAAATTTAGTCCTTTAATAACTTTGTAAATCAAACTGTTAAATCTTCTGCTTTCTCTTCAAAAGGTCGCATACTGGTGAAAAGCCATTTAAGTGCTCTCAGTGTGGAAGAGGTTTTGTGTCAGCTGGAGTTCTGAAAGCACATATTAGAACACACACTGGATTGAAAGCTTTCAAGTGTGTTGTTTGCAATGGGGCCTTCACTACTGGTGGTAGCCTTAGGCGCCATATGGGGATCCATAATGATCTTCGACCGTATATGTGTCCGTATTGTCAAAAGACATTCAAAACATCACTAAACTGTAAAAAACACATGAAGACTCATAGGTATGTTTACAATTTTTACATGAATCCTTCAATGTAGTTCAGTAGCTGTTCCTTAAAGATACTTGGAAAGGCAGCTTTGCTCTGTAACAAATGCATATATTTGACTATGGATGTTTATTTATGGGTAGCAAACACATATGTACCTTTTGAAGGTGTAGTAAATTATGGTGTATAATAAAAATAATAATTTTTTCACATAAATAGTTGCGGTAAGTGTCTAACTGAAACCACAACAAGGCTTTCTTACCTTTCTTTGCAGATATGAACTTGCACAGCAACTTCAGCAGAATCAGCAATCCTCTTCAATAGATGATTCTACAGTAGATCAGCAGAGCATTCATGTTTCTACACAGATGCAAGTGGAGATTCAAAGTGATGAGCTACAGCAGTCAGAAGCTGTTGCCACAGATCAGCAGGCTATTTTAGAGTTAGACCAGCAACCAGTAGTAGGCACAGAAGAAGCAGCACTAGAACAACAGTTGGCTGACCAACCTTTAGAGCAAGACGAGGGTGAGTATTTGAAATACAATTAGGTTTATAATGAGGTAAGTTTGCAAGTTCTCAAATAATGGTTTCTTGACAAATTTCAGTCCTTTGGGTTTCAAGACAATGCAAGTAAACAAGTAGAAAAATACGTAGAGTAAAGGCTAGCTACTTAAAGTATATTGTACAATTTCATTCATTGCTGTTTAGGTTTAGTGTTAAAATATAAAAAGATTAAGATTTGGACTCGTTAGTAGTAGCAAACAAAACTACTAAGCTAATATACAGAAAAATAGTACAAAATTTTACCACATCAGCTCTTATTAATAAAAAGCATTTCTGTATAGTCTACTTAGAAAGTAATACTTGTGTTTTGAGGTAAGAGAATATGAAATATTTGATGTACTTATACATAATAGTGAAACAAAGTATTTTGGTTTTGCTTATTTGTTCTTTTTCATGGTGTAATGTTAGCAAGTACAACAGGGGAATATAAGTAAAGTGTGCTATAACCCAAGATTTAAATACCTGTTCAGCCCGTAATTTTTTGCTTATTTTTAATGCAGTGAAAATTCAGTGACTATAAAATATAGGAGGTTGGAAACAACTGAAATATGCAGTTATTTACATCTTCTTGATATTTTTCTCTTTTCTTTTCTCCTCCCACCTTCTCCCCTTCCCTTCCCCATTTCAGATAGATTTGTGACATCCCAGCATGCTTTACAGGAAAACATCACTCAGTTTGAACAACAGGCTATAACACAGCAGCCATTTGATCAACAGGGCTTATCACAAGGTTAGTAATGAATAAAGGTTTTACGAAAGTAATTTTTATAAATCTGACTTTTCAGCATAGCTATGATAAAGCACTTCTAAAGTAAACACCTGCACTCAGAGTAACTGCAATGCAGAGGACTTGCAAAACAATTACTGTTTTGAAGCTATACTTGGTAGAATATTTTGAATACTTAAATATAAATAGATTTTGCTTTTATGAGCCGATGTCTAGTCATTACAGTAGGGGTTTTATAGTCAGGCATTTCATATTCTTTCTTTGATTGTGTTTGAAATTGCTGTGGCAGTTTACACAAATTTCCCCCTAAATATGCATGCTCATAACCTGAAATGATCAGAAACAACGGTAAGATTTGACTGAGTAGCTGTTTGGATTCATTTTGAAAAAGGACAGTGCAAAATATAGTCATGTAAAAAATCATACTTTCAACTCTCCACAGCAGTTTCCTTTTGTATTTTATAGAGCAATGTAAGTAACAAATTAAGAGATTGGAAGCATTTGAAAACTTTTTTTCCCTATAAAAGACAGATAAATGTGTAAGGCTTATGTAGCCTGCAAATAATGAAGAAACGACTACCTTTCTTTGCTTTTCAGAGCTGGATTTCTTGAATTGTTGCTTAGTATGAAGCTACTAATTTTGTTTGGGTTTGTTTTGAGGTTTTTTTGGTGGTTGGGGTTTTTTTGGGGAGGGACAGGGTGGGCACGTGGAGTTCTTTACATGGAGAATGGGTTTTCATTTGTTTTGGTTGGGAAGCATACCTCAGTGGTTGGCCAGCTGATATAGTGTCATTTTAAGTTTTATAGCGTCTTTCGTAAAGACTTAATTGACTTTGGTAAATTGCATGATACTATGAGAAATAGCATAACTTTCTGATTTTAATTCTCTAGGTTGTGCTGCTTTGTATGTAAAGAAAAAAAATTAAAGTCTCCACCTTTATTAAACAAGACTGATCCAGGTCCTCTTAAAATCCTATGATGATTTTCATTGGTTACTTTTTACAGTTTTTCAAATGAATGAAAAGAGACTACAGAAAAAAAGTGCAGCCTTTAGCTCTATGTTAATCTGAAGAGTGGTGGTGGGTTTTGTTTCCTTGTCAGTGGCTCCTTTGAATTTGAAAACCCAATATGTGAACATTGTTTTGTTATCTTATTTAAACTTGAGTTTTTACGTATGTGTATCTTCTCTATTAAATAAATATTGAATGATTTCTTGGGGAGGGCAGAGACTCTTCTAGAACTCACAAAACAATTCTTTCATCGTCAGAAATCCAGGCTGATCATCGGTACATTGTAGAATTGGTACAGAGAATCAGAACATTTGTGGTGTGGGCTTTTTAAAGTCTCGTTTGTATAAGATGTCTCCTATTCTACTTGGAATCTCATCCACAGATTCCCAACTCTTTGAAGTTTCCTTGAAGATCCTGGAGCCCTTCAAAATTTTTGAATTTCAGGTAGGTAAGCATTTGCGCGGATGCATGCGTTAAATTGGTCGACCCTCTCCCTATGTCTGCATCTGTGCTTCATGCTCCTAATTTCTTTTTCCTATCAGCTAGGCAGAACACTAAAGCTTAAAACACTATGTCTTTTTTATCCTTGGTATTTATAGGCTATATTCTTGTTAAAATATTTTGGTTCAGTGTTTATTAATAAAACAATGTAGGAGTTATGAAAGATCTTTGATAGGTTTTTTGATTTCTCTTTTTTATTTTTTTTTTTTAAGAAAAAAAATCTTAGCATTTCAACCAGATGAGACTGATTTCTAGGTCTGCACAGACCTGCCAGAACTTACTCTTTCAGGTTTGTTTGTAATGCTTCTGTTGAATTTCTGGTTTGTTCAGATAGGTTTTCTTCTTGATGTGTTCAGACTTGTAAAGAAGTGCAGATCCTGTGAGGGTGCTGCTGTATCGTAATCTGTGATTCATTTGAGCTAGATTTGAAGACTGAGGAAAAGGACTTGTGTTCTTGGTAGTTTATGTGTTCGGGCATCTTCATTTCAAGACTTTTTAGTGATGTCAGAACAACCAAGTGTATCTTTTATATGAAATTGGTTTGGGGTTATTGAATAATATGTCACCAAATGTGTTTTCATATAAATTACATCATCTTTTCTTCCTTTAAAGTCTCCCTGTAAGCATGGTTGAATGATAATTCAAATAGTAGTGATAGGTGAGTGACCTTAAAGAATTCCAAATGCTTCCAAATGTTATTCTGTAGCCCACAGAAATATACCTTTGCCACCAGACTGCTGTTTTGCTTTCCTAAGAAGTTGATCTGCAATCTTAGGACATTCTGATTTTTCAGTAACTATTTACTCACTGATTCCAGTCAGTACTGTTCAGCTGGTTGCAAAAGTTGCCTAAAAGCAAGCCTGCAGAACATTTAATTGCTAAGCACTGGTCCCAGCTGAAATGCACATGTGCATGTAGATGTTGGTAATGTTAGAATTCGAAGGATCTGTCAGTAAAGATTTGAAGTTTTGTCTAAACTAAAATATTGTATTTGCTATGAGTATCATGCTGTTGTTTTCTCATTCTCATGTGCAAGACACATCTTTCCACTAGTAAACTGATTTCCAGAGTATTCTATTTTGCAATATGTTTTGTTAATATAGAAGACAATTAGGTTGGGTGATGTCCGAAAGCCAAAAAAACCCCAAGCAACGTAAATGATTACTTGTACTGAAAAATACAAAATGCAATTCCACCTTTAGAAGACTTCATAGTCATAGTAAGAGACTCCCCTTATTATACAGAGCCTCAGATGTTCTCTGTTCTTTGAAGATTGATCAAAAGCTTCAGGGAAACAATATATAGCGATAAAAAAAAGAGCAGAAAAAAAGGTTATGAAATTTATTTCTCTCTCAGACTGAATGTCTGATTTTTTGTGTTTGGTGGTGTGGGGTTTTTTAATGCTGTTCTGTAGAAATTTTATGGTCGTAGCAAATGCCTTTGAGCATGCTGAAGTTGTCAGATCTTTTTTGAGTGGAAAATGACCTTCATGTTAGGTGTTGGGCAAAATGGGAATGCATCAAATATATTCTTGTCACAGCTTTGGTCCATATTTATTTCAGAACTACTTTCAGAAGTAGTATTTCTTTCTTTTTGTCCTCAAATACCTCTACATTCAGAACTTTTCTTCTGAGCATTTTGTTGCACAGTCCTGGGAAATTTTTCAGGATGTCAATAATTTCTTTTATTTAAACACTGTGAAGCAAAACAGGTCATGGTATAGTAACTTCTTTTTTCCTTCTTAGCTAGTACAATTTACCTGCTGATTAAAAAAAGTTTCAGGTTTTTTAGGTAGCTGTTTCTTTGTACATTTAATAGTTATGTCCTTTTTTTTTTATGTAGGGCATAGAAGTGACATCACTTTGCTTCAGTTTCTTGAGTCTTGTTTTTTTCTGTATACTCATCTAGTGTAGTGGGAATGCCATTTTTCTATAAAGATACTTCTAAAATTTATTTGAAAAGCATAAATTAGCAGCCCTTTTATCACTCCAAAACTTTTCATTGCTGTTCTTCAGGCTACTTTTTTTTTTTTGTCATTTCACTAAGTAATTGAGGTGCAAGGTTCAGCTTGTTGAATCCTTTTTTTTTCTTGTAATCTTGTAGGATTACAAGTTGTAGGAGAGAAAATTTTATAGAAATTGCAACAATAGATTTGGTGTCAAATGATGACCTGACTAATAATACTTTCAAGATTTGTTTACATTTCTGGGTTTTCATTCTATGCTGTAAGCAATAGCATACGAGTAGGGTTTTTTCCTCTACTGATTACAGTATTCTTCTGGTGTGGAAAGGGTCTTTTGGGAAAATTTCTGCTTAAACTTAACACATCCAAGTTTCTGTTATACTGTAATTCAAAACATTCTTTAAGCATTGCTTTTTGGCCTTTGATGCTGTGGTCTTCTGATGTGGGTTTGTTTCTGCCTTTTTTTCATAATCTTCACCCTTTTTGTCCACTAAAGGCAAACTGCACAGAAGTACTAAAATTGTTGCCCATACCTTAATTACTGATACTTGTGGTTTCATTTTTTTCCACATTACATTGTGGGTTGTTTTTTTAGAAGTATTAGAACTTAAAAGGGTTGATAAAGGACATCTATAATAGCATTTAAAAACAATGCAATCTGAGCTATATTTCCCTGGCTCTGAATCATTGTTGCTATCATTTCATCCATTCATTTAGAAAAGGAGGTGATTAAGATCTGATATTTTGGGAGAACAGAACCAAATAAAAATTTCAGGTCTTTTTACTGGAAATGTGAATAAAAATATGTTTATTTTTTACTTTGCAGTTTGCCTTTGAGAGGCTCTACTTTACTATTATCTAAAGAGTGGGAATATGTGGAGGAGATCCAAAGTAGGAGAAAATGGGGTTACTTTATCAGAAACTGGAGTTCTCCTATTGGGTCATCTCCTCCACTCACCCGCCATCCTCCCCACTGAGCTTTGCATCCTTGTGATCGGCTTCCAGTGTAGTTAAGGGAGCGTGGTACCAACGTGGATAAAGGGAGATGGGTCAACCTGTTTGACACATGCATGCTTACATACAAGAAATTCAAAATTTCAATGGCTCTAAGGTAATTGTGGCACTCCGAAGAAACTTCAAACAGTGTTTTTCTGTGGAGGAGATTTTCCAATAGAATTCCAGCTAATGGTAAGTAACCCTATTATGCATATTACATAGATGCCAGAAACATCTGTGTCTTTTGACACTCAACAGTGAAGAATACAAGTATTACTATGTAGTAATTCTACTTAACTTCTTTTGAAGGTAGTTTTCAGAGAAGTGTGGTGTTATTCAAAGTCCAATTCAGTGTATTTTCCAGGTTTGTGACTGTTTAATTTCTGGCAGGTTTTACAGTGAACGACAGCTACAATCAACAGACTCAATTTCCAGCTGTACAGCAGCTGCAGGATTCAAGCACACTTGAATCTCAGGCTCTTTCAACGAGTTACCATCCACCAGCCCTTCTTCAGGTTCCAAATACAGACACTATTAATGTAGTAAGTACTGCTAGAAGGCAGGCTTCATTGTTTTGTGTTCAGTGGTGAGTTTCTTTGCACCATTTCATTGGTGGTAAGTAAAATAAGAAGTCAGAAAAGTTTCAGGATTTCTTTTCTAGATTGCTTATGTTTAGCAACTGGAAAACGGGGGTGGGAAGAGGATAAGTGACCTGATTACATGTTTCTCAAAAGAAATTGTATGTTTTGGTGTTCTAGACTTAAAAAAGGATATAATGTTGTAGAGTTGGATTGCAATGTTAAAACTGAGAAAAAGACATAAAGTTATGAAATAATTGTACATTATCACATATCTTTTGTCCTAATTCTTTGATTTCTATAGATGTATATGATCAAACAATAAAAAAACATTGCACATGTATAGTGGTCATTCATGGAGCTTGCATATCACAATGTGTGATGTTCTTGTGTGGTTTTCATCTCGTTAAATTTGTAAAAGAACTCAATTGCTAAAAATACAGTTTAAATATAACTTTTTATGATGGTAGTAGCACCTAGCATGAAGACCACCTGTCGTAATGTACTTACCATGATGATCTGCATGAGTTATTGTCTCTTCAAGCTTGTTTGCGAATTGCAAATGTCAGTCAGAGAACTAAAGTGGGGTTTAGGATCTGGAAGAGTTTGAGTAATTTCAACTTACAGGCTTTGGAGTTTCCTTCTCTTCAAATCTTAAAACATGCTGTTGTTTTTAAGGATTATTCTATAGTGGCTTTTACTTACAGGAATGCTCAAAAAGTAGTGAAGTCTTCAGCAGCACTGTGTTTTGCTACTCAATGTTTAAAATGGCTTCTCTAGTTTTAAATTTAACTCCTCCAACATTAGAAAACCTAGACAAGTTAAATACGTTTTTGTGTAGATTCAGAGAAGTATAAATGCACCACATTGTCTATTTATTCCAATACAGTAGGTGAACATTTTGGTGCCTGCCTTCTCACTATGAAAGAGCTAGGTGCCATATAGAACTCTTAATTTCTTATCAAAATTTATGAAAGCATAAATTTGATTACTTGTATTGACTGTAAATGCTGTAAATTTTTTGTTGCCTGTTTGTGTGACTTTATTTCAGTATCGTGTTATTGAAATTTACTTGAGGTTTTGATTTTTAGACTACTCGCTTGATACAAGATCAGTCACCACAAGAAGAACTTGAATTGCATACCCAAAGGCCTCATTTTCTTGAGGATAATGAAGATCAAAGTAGGCGTTCATATAGGTTTGTTATACTTCTATGTTCCGTTACAGAATTTCCTGAATCTTTTATGGCTAGTAATTGTATACAACTAATGAAAACAATTTTCTTCTAATAGATGTGAATATTGCAACAAGGGTTTTAAGAAATCCAGCCATTTGAAACAACACGTACGATCACATACTGGTGAGAAACCTTATAAATGCCAACTCTGTGGACGTGGTTTTGTTTCCTCAGGAGTTCTTAAGTCACATGAGAAGACTCATACAGGTAACAGAGTATACCAGCTCTATATTAGCTTAAACCATGTTTGGGTTTTGTAAATGTCCTGTGTAAGCAAACTTAAACAAATAGCATGCTACTTATTTGTTTCTGTTACTTTAAGGAGTTAAAGCATTCAGCTGTAGCATTTGCAATACCTCCTTCACAACTAATGGCAGCCTTACCAGGCACATGGCAACTCACATGAGCATGAAGCCTTACAAGTGCCCATTCTGTGATGAAAGCTTTCGAACAACTGTTCACTGCAAAAAACATATGAAAAAACATCAGACAGTCTCCTCAGCTGTAGCAGCAGCTACAGATACAGGAGGGGGAGGTAAATTATTTCACTTTTACTTTTACAGTCCTTACTCCATAAGAAATACAGATGTTTTGGTGGATTACATGAATGCTGTAACAGTAATATTACAAAATAGCCTTCCAGCATGGATAATGTCTGATGTCCAGAGCTGCTAAAATTGCTGTGTTATCTAAATTGTTTAAAGAAATGTTTTCCAGGATCTGTCCAGTGTATTCAAGGTACTGTATGTGACATAGTTACTTTAGTATGTCACCAAAGTAGAACATTTTTTGTCCTAAGTTACTTATACCCGTATTAGTTATTGTAAAAATAAGAATCAGAAATTCAGCTTTTTTTTTAAAATGAAGTACGGACATGAGTAATTAGACCTTTGAAAGAGATTAAAGTCCAAGCACGTAATGTAGTGGCGATGTGTTTAATAATAAACCCTTCTATTTTTTGTAATTTCAGCTGATAGATTAAACTAAACAAACATGTTTTTTTGTTTTGGTTTGATTTTTTTTGTTTTGCCTTTTTTTTTTTTCTTAAAAGTTGCATGTGTTGAAGATGATGATGAAAACTCTGAAAGAACTTCCAGAAAATCTCGTCCTGGTGTCATAACTTTTACAGAAGAAGAAACAGCAGAACTGGCAAAGATTAGGCCTCAAGAAAGTGCCACTGTCTCAGAAAAAGTTCTTGTCCAGTCTGCTGCAGAGAAAGACAGAATTAGTGAGATCAAAGATAAGCAAGCAGAACTGGAAGCAGAACCCAAATATGCCAACTGTTGTAGTTATTGTCCCAAAAGTTTTAAAAAACCCAGTGATTTAGTCAGGTAAGGAATGGAAAAGTTTTGTGTGTTTTTAATTTGCTAAATTGTTCACCAGAAACTTAAGCAATAATAGTTTCATATAACTCTTTATGTCTAAGTTGAATTTTGACTCATATTTACATAACGTCAAAATATAAAATACATTTTCTGACTATGACTAACCCAGCCTTTTCATATTTATTTTCTTGCAGTATTGAAATTGTTATTATGAAGTTTTTGAATAAATTATTTTTTCTTGCTATAAGACCTGCATGTAAAAGCATGTAAAAATCAGTTGGAAAAAAAAGGCAAATACTTCAATTTTCTTTACTTGTTCTGCTTAGTGTATTGATAGTATAAGTATTTAATTAATTCTAAAATTAGTAAGATAGAAAATAAATATTTTTGCAAACTGACGTAAAAGTAGAAATTCAGATGTACATGTATTCTGGAATTATTAGGCATGTTCGTATCCATACTGGAGAGAAGCCGTATAAGTGCGAAGAATGTGGAAAGAGTTTCACTGTAAAATCCACTCTGGATTGTCATGTTAAAACACACACAGGTCAGTGAGATTTTGAATGTCTGTGTTTAGAAACTGGTTGCTTTCTTGACCAGCTGTTTTCAGTACAGATCTTGCAGGGAATGGTATGTTTTCGCTGGGATCTGGCATATGGCACAATGAATGGCAGTAGTCAGTGAAATTTGGTACTTATGGCATCATCAAGTTAATCATATTAGGACATTTTGAAAAATCCGTATTATTACAGCCTTCTCTATTAGTAGGCTTCTAAAGCAGTCATACACTTAGCTTCTGCAAAAACTATGTGTGCAAGTATCCATAACATTTTTGCATTAAATCTTCTGTAGCGTTTCGATGATAAATGATTTTCCTGAGCAAGAAGGTGGAGTTGAGGGATTTTATAAAGTTAAACTAGAGGAAAAAAATTATAAACATTAATGTTTGCGCTGCTAAGTAAATTGGAAAAGAAGAGTACAAAAAATTTGAGCGTTCAGCTGTTTGAATCATGCAAGTTGAATGTAAACCTATTATCTGTAATATTTAGGTTTTTACAGTAGTTTCTCTGTATTCCCAAGAGAGGTCTGATTTTAATAGAGGTGTTATTCAACCCTAATTTTGCGTTAATTAAAAAACCCTCTAAATCTTTCATACTCGTTTTCTTCTTACCATTGAACTTCTGTAATAAACCCAATCCTGAACTAATTAATTTCTAAAACTGGCTACAGTTTCATTAAGCTTCATTATTATCTCTTTTGAAAAGTACAAAAGACAAGATAGAAAGCTTTTAATACTGTAATACATAATTATTTTGCTCATGGAAGCTTCCTCCCTGTTGCACTATATTTGTATTTTCTTCTGTTGTTTAGTAAGAAATACTACTTATGTGTTACATCAGATCATCGCGTAGATTAGTATCTTGTCTCAGACAGTAGCAAATACTAAGGATAATCAAAAGAACAAAGCAGGCATTTGGTCATGTATGTCCAGATTCAAGCAGCTGGAAAGTTGTGGGACTTAACAAGAGATTGCATCTCTTTGTTCACTATCTTTAATGGAATATTTTACATTAGATTTGTCCAGAGTCAGGTAATAATCTCCTTGAATATTTAAATAACAGGACTTCAGATGTTCAGTTTGCTCTTTCCTGCTTACTTTTTTTTGTTTTCTTCTCTCTCGCTTTTATTTTTTTTATTTCCCTTTTCTACCATTGGGTGGGGTTTTTTTATATAGTGAGAAAGACTGCTAGATGGCTTCCTTTGTGGCACCCTGAATGTGGTAGACAGCTTTTCTGCAGCCCAGATTCCCATTGTCTTACTGGCTCGTGTTATTGGGCTCTTCTCCATTATTTGAAACAGAACATTGTCAGAGTTTTACTTAGTTTTGATGAAGAAAAAGTGACAACAGTGCCAGGGTTTTGTAATCTAAATCTGTCATTTGAAGTAGGTTGAATTGAATTCAGGAATTTGATGAGAGATTCTTCTGTGTAAACGGAAACTAGAATTCAATACCAGGAATCATAGGCACACATTGGTTTTGTGATTTCTTTATGAAATGCATTGATTTCTTTCCCTTGTTTAACTAGAAAGCAATATTGTGCTGGAAGGTCTGGGAATTTCAGGAGTTATAGGGAGTTTTCAGCTGCAGTGGCATGTTTTCTGCCAGATATTTACATTATGCTTTTTGTGAATTGTACAACTGTGGATTTGGTTAAGGAAATAAACTCCATAGTTTGCTGTTACTTGTAGTACATTAACAATTCCATTTGAGACCAAAGATTTTTTCAGATGTTATGCAATCTGAAAGGAGAGAGGATAAGGAGGTCTGTATATGTATAGGCCAGATTTCTGTACTTCTAAATTACTTTGAGGGGCTGGTATTTTTGTCTTATGATGTTATCTCACTTAATTTTATTCACTTCCTACCTTCATTTCCTTAACCAAATTAATTCTAGTCAGTATTGTGGCAGTATTGAAACAGAAGAATAAAGCTGCTGGAATTAAAAAGGAAATGAATAGCCAAGTAAGTAGAAGCCAAATGCTGAAGAGGTTGAGATAAAACTTTTAATTCTCCGGTTTACGAACTGTGTAGTTAGAACAACTGGATTAGTCAGGAAGGTGAGATGAGGAGGAGGACAGAGGCATGAAGGTCACCAAGTTTGATTCTGCATGAAAGCTTTTACAGCATGCTGAGTTTCAGTAATAGGAAAAAATTAATATGCCCTTCATTGAGATCCTTAATTCATTTGAAAAGCAGACAAGATTATAAAGAAAAAGTCCAGTTATTTCAAATTTATTCTGTTCAGATTAGTCCAGAATATGTTGGGGTTTTTTGTTAAATGCATGATTTAGTGCTATCAATATTTTAGAGCTTTTATAACTTCCCTTTCTGTTTTTTAAACTTTTCCAGGCCAGAAGCTTTTCTGTTGTCATGTGTGCAGTAATTCTTTTTCTACAAAAGGGAGTCTAAAAGTCCACATGCGTCTGCATACAGGAGCAAAGCCCTTCAAATGTCCACACTGTGATTTACGGTTTCGTACTTCGGGGCGCAGGAAAACCCACATACAGTGTCATTATAAACCGGAGACAAAGAAAGTTAGGAAGCCTGTTGCCCGCGCTTCAACTGAAGGACTACAACCAGTCAGCCTTCTTAATTCATCCTCTACAGACCCTAATGTTTTCATCATGAATAACTCCGTTCTGACAAGTCAGTTTGATCAAAATTTACTTCAGCAAGGACTTGTGGGCCAGGCTATTCTGCCTGCTTCAGTGTCAGGTAAAAATGGATGACGTGGTGGTGGTGATGTTGAGATCAAGTTCTGAACTTTGCTTTCTGTTAGAGTTCAGAAAGTTATGGCAAACACTGCTTGCCAAACAGGTAAGAGTTGTACTGAATTCATGGTTCGATGCACATTGGTGACATAAATAGAAATTTATTTATTTAAGAACGAAGGGGTAAACGTATACAGTTCACCTAAAAAGATCCTTTTGTTTCTGCTGTGCTGTTGCACTGCAGAGAGGAAGAAATTATAGATAGCAAACAGCTCTGAAGTACTTGTATTCCTTTTGGTAATACTCTATTGCCTTTTTTTAAAAAGAGGAGAAGCAAAACAGTTATTCTGTTTCTCTGCACCAGTTATTTACATGAATAATGAAGATTTTTGGTTTTCAAATGCTTACATACCTTTATTTCCATGTTAGTACGCAGGATGAACTTTGACACTTTGATACCGAACAACATTTGTGCTGTGCAAAATGTGACAGTAGCTTCCGTGTGTATATTCAGAGTCAGAATGTAAATATCATGTGTGAGTGCTGCTGTGTTTAGGTGCGGCACACTTTCCAATGAAATTTATACCAATTTCTCCAGGTTTCCAAAGCTATTGTGGAGGAGTTCTTGCTTTGTAAGATACTCGCTAGTTGTTAAGTAACAATCCTTAAATCACGCAGAATTTATGAAGCTTTAAAACAGGCAATCATCTACTTCAGATTGTTTTTCTTGGCATAAAATAAATGTTGTCTACGTAGCTTTTGTCTTGATTTAATTTATAAAAATAAACAAGCTAAAAGAGGTAGTCAATATTGATAAATAAAAACATTATAATATAACTGTTTTCTTTGGTAGCTGGAGGTGACTTAACTGTGTCCTTGACAGATGGTAGCTTGGCCACTCTTGAAGGAATACAGCTACAACTTGCTGCTAATCTGGTTGGACAAAATGTTCAAATTTCTGGAATAGATGCCAGCAGTATTAACAACATAACATTACAGGTAGGTTGCTTACAGTTTCTTGCTTTTAATTTTTTGGAGTCACTTTGAGGGCTGAAGAGACTTTAAGGAGCATAGCATATTCTAGAAGAGTTCTCTAGAGTATACATAATTCTAGAAGAGTGAGGCACATGGCAATACCTTGCTGTATGAGTTATACAATGTAAGAAGACTTACAAAATAGCTGCACAATGGGGTATTTTTCTGGTTTGATTTCTTTCTAATTTTTTTTTTACTCATCTGAGATTTTGGCATATTGCTTTAAAATATGGGTTTTTTCTTTTAACTGCATTTTGTCTCTTCACTTTGAAAGTACTTTAGACTCTCACCCAGCTCACAAAAGGCATCTCCCACTCCGATCCCCCGAAACAAGCCCAAATTATTGCACAGAATAAGACACCTGTGTAACTATGCAAGTTTTTAATAGTTGGATTCAAAATTTCAATTCCTATTGAGGTTGTAAAAGGAACAACAGAAAAAAGATGGGATGATTACATTTAAAAGTTTGTATTTGAAAGATGTGAAACAGTGATTTTTAGGAACTTGGTTGTGTTTGATTAGTTTCACAGAATCGTTGATTTTAGAGGAAACCTCTAGAGGTTGCCAGGTACAACCCCAAGGTTAGGGAAGGGACATCCACAGAGTTGTATTGAGTTGCTCAGAGTCTCTCTACTCAAGGAGTTTTTAGCGTAAAATGAAGGCATTTTAATTTCTGTTTTTCTCAATCACTAAATGTCCATGAAGAGTAAAATCTGTCTTTAACTATAGACAACAGTATTTGGATTGTGAACTGGGACCTTAATGAGCCCTAGTAGCTGAAAAAAAATAAATAATTTCTGGTATCACTCTTCTTTCTGCTCCATGCCTTTTCACTTTCAATGGCTTGAAGACAATGATAAACATTGCATGCACTAACAAGACAGTACAGAATACCAGCAGTGTGTGTAACTGATGCCTTCCATACTAACATGTAACTGTGGTCATGATTTCTCAAACGTTTTGCTGATGGAAGAATCTACAGGTGAATCTGAATAGACTTGATACTTAGTGACTTAAGAGACTGGCTATATGCTGACACATAAAAAATAAATTTAAGTTTTAAATGGTTAATTATAAAGTTTAAGAACTGTATCTACTCTATATGCAATAAGTATGAATTCTGGATTTATGTTAAGAATATTCATTTTAATCTATCATTTTTAACTTCAGATTGATCGTTGAAACTTGTTTTTCAGATCGATCCAAGTATTCTACAGCAGACTTTGCAGCAGAGTAATTTACTTACTCAGCAACTAACTGGAGATCCCAGTATGGCTCCACAGAATCCCTCCCTCCAGGCAACAGAAAGTGCAGTGCCAGCTAATGTGGTTATTCAGCCCATATCAGGCCTGTCTTTGCAGCCCACGGTAACATCATCTGCTAATATGACCATAGGATCCCTGTCTGAGCAGGAGTCTGTGCTGACAACCAGCGCAAACGGTGAGAAGTGTCAATAGTTTTATTGTGCTTTGAATTTCTTAGTTCTACTTAGTGGTATTATCCACAGTGAGAAAATGTCACCCCTTGCCTACCCCCCCAACCAGATACCTAATTTAATAAAATAAACATGCAGTTCTTGCATGAGCATCTTCAGCAAATTTTACAGCTTTATGTGTTACCCTTTGCTAATATAATTTTTTTCAGAAGGTGGATTAGAGAGTAGGTTTATATTAGATATTAATTAGGAAAAAATTCTTTACTCTGAGCGTGGTGAGGAACTGGAACAGGTTACCTAGAGAAGTTGTGGATTGTCTGTCCGTGGAAGTGTTCAATGCCAGGCTGGATGGAACTCTGAGCAATCTGGTCTAGTGAAAAGCATTGCTGTCCACAGCAGGGGGGTTGGAACTAGATGCTTTTTAAGGTCCCTTCCAATCCAGACCATTCTGTGATTCTGTGTAGTGAAAATACTTAAGAACTTCCAAAGTCTTAAGAAAAATACAAAATCTTTGTTCTGAAAATCTTAAGTACAGAGGATTAAATTGGATATGAAAATTTGTCCTTTGGAATGCATGTTCTAGCATCTCCCCTTGACTACATCATTTATTGTAGTTCAGCAAATAATGCTTTAAAAGATTTTGTCTATTATAATGAAAGACTCTTCATGAATTTTTTTTGTTCTATCCCTTATATTTAGGTGCACAGGACATTTCTCAAGTCATAACTTCACAGGGTATGGTGTCATCTTCAAATGGACAACATGAGATAATGTTGACCATAAATAACTCCAGTTTGAGTCAAGTTCTAGCTCATGCTTCAGGCTCTACTAATGCGACCTCATCAGGAAGTCCTCAAGAAATCACTCTTACAATATCTGGTTGGTATTTTTAAAAATCTTCGATGGTACCAGATCTCTATTTTATAAGGTAACATTTGAAGATAGTTAAAAGAATCTAATAAAAAAAAATAAAAGTTTGTATTTTGATTAATAACATTTCTTTAATAGATCTAGTATTATATTTAGTGCATTTTTCTTTTGCTTTGTTTTTTATTTCCTTTTGTTCCTTTTCTCTTTTCTCTTTTTTTTATGTTCTGTAACATGTTTAGTGTTTTTAAGTGTCATGACAATAACGTCTGTGTTCTTCTTCTGCTTGATCATGAATGTTCACTCATCTAAGAAAAATGGTGTCCAACAACTGATAGATTTGGTTTTCAGTTTCTGTGTTTCAGTTTTTATGTTTTATGCTGGTTGACCATCAAGCAAAATTAACACCATATTAAGTGATGTCTTTATAAGACTGGTTCAATGCAATTCATTATCCATATAGCAGATCTAAAAAGTCACACTAACCACATTTGGCCTTTGGTTTGCTGCATTTTTACTGATTCATGAATTTGGTATCTCGAATCTAGATAAGTAAGATTAATATTTGTCTAAATATTAGTAATCTCAGGTATTTCTGTAAATCTTAGGATCTAGATTGTCATAATTACATCTATATTAGAAACTTGTTGCACCTCTGCATAAAAATCTGCATTTGTAGAAATTAATTTTATGTTTTGGTTGTATTTTCTACTTTTATTATTTTATGATCTATTGTTTTTAGTTCTAAGAACAGTAGCAGAATAATGTTGAGACATTTCCAGTTATAATAGGACTCATTTCTATTCAGGCCAAGATCTTATTCAGCATAATTCTGGAGGCAGTGATCTGAATACTGGCTTAAGGCTAACAGCGCCAACCATCAGCAGTCAGACTACAGGTGCTACATTAACTATAAGCAATGACCAGCTGCTTTCTCAGGGCCCTTCACTAAATGCTCCAGGTATGCATATAAAGATTTCTGTAATTAGAAGTGGTAACATTTTGTTAAAAAAATACATATTAGACCAGATAACTAAATATGAAATGGTATAATCTTGCACATTATGATTCAGGAACTACAGGCCTTTGTGTGGTTTTTTTCAGAGTCTTTAAATTGTTATGTCAGTTTAAATGAACTTTATTCCACATAGTAAGTAGAAAATGAAAGCAAGAAGACGTATCTTTTAGTACTTCAGGGCAGTTAAAGGAGTATTGAAAGGCTGTTTCTATAAATTGGAGGACAGAGGAATCTTGTGCATTTGCTGCAAATGTGATAAAATATCAAAGTCACTCTAGTATTCAAATTTTGAGTTTTTAAATACATACATGAATTTCTACCTCTGTTTATATACAGACAAACACGTGTTTGGTCAATATTATGTCCATCAAGCTACATTTAGAGAAATTTTTCTAATTTTATCATCTGTCTCTGACAATTTTAATGCTTGATTAGCTGTTTAACTGGTTTAGTTGACTCCAAAATAGAAAGTCCTAGCGAATGAGAAATAGAAATTAAATTCACTTAAAATAAGTTGGCAGCTAAGATGTTTTTTATGTAACAGATTTTTTTTTACCATTTTGCATCTATTCCAGAACTTAATACAACAGGTGGAACAAACCTTCCTTCAACAACACCCATATCACAGTCTGCAGTTTCTGCCCAGAATTTGGTCATGTCTTCATCAGGAGTTGGAGGAGATGGTAGTGTCACTTTGACTCTTGCTGACACTCAGGGAATGTTGTCAGGTGGTCTTGATGCAGTTACACTTAATATCACTTCACAGGTAAGACATGCATTTCTGAACTGGCAGATAAAGTGATATTACTGTCTTTCAGGGCAGGAACTGGAAATTTTGCCGAGAAAATAATTTTGTCCTGTAAATACATAATATTTGAAAACTCAGTTAACTTTCCTTCTTTCTGTCAAAGATGTGTGCATACTGGCATCTAGAAACATGAACTGTTTAAACAGAAGTGCAGATAAATTTTGCAGGGTTATTTTTTTTCATCGAATAGATAAGTTCTACTGTTTTAGTGATCAACTGTGTACGTCATCATCACTATTCAGTAATACAGCATAGTACTCCTAAAAATATTAATTACTATTATTTAATATGGTCATTTTTTTCTTTTCCTCTTTGTGAACATGAGAGTTGAAGAGCAGCTGCAACAGTTCCTTTCACAACAAGTAACAGGACAGAATTTAATTGACTATCTTTAATAACAGGTGGCATTAAAAAAATTATAAAAATAGTGCTGTATGGAGTATCATCTCCCCACTAGCTTTACCATTAGTTTCATTTTTATCATAATTTAATGTTTTTGTGATGTCATAAAGAGCCAAAGACACATTGGCAATACAATCTACAGAGTGGGGAGATTGAAAAAATTAAGTCTAGAAAGTGAAAATTTAGAGTCATTGTGTGGTTGAAATCTCAGTGTAGATGAAAATTTACGTGACTACAGTTAGCTGTTTAAATATACCTGTTTAAATATATAATTCTACTGCTTTTGTTTTTTCTTCTCACCTCTTTGGTAGGGTCAACAGTTCCCTGCTATACTCACAGATTCCAGTCTCACTAGCCAAAGTGGATCAGGCTCACAGCAAGTTATACTGGTGAGCCATACACCCCATCCAGCACCTGCAAACTCTGATGAAATAACGTATCAGGTAGATACTATATATTTCTGTATCTTTTTGTGGACAAAAGGACATTATTTAATCAAAATACTGTAATAATTCCTTTATAACCTGAATCATGGAGGCTGATGTCATTCTCAAATAAGAGTATTGGGAAGAGGTTCTCTGTGACTTCCTAGTCACACAGATTCTGTTTCAAGTTTTGAGTTAAAAAATACGTATACATACACAAAAAAGAAATGCAGTTAATAATGTATTTCTTTCTGTAAATTACATAACCATGCTCTTAACACAGACTGCTCCAAAAATTTCTGAGTAAGTTGGTATTTTGATAACAAAACCAGACAAAGTAGGGAGCTGTGGGAAAAAAATAGCACCTATTAGTACATGTTTTACATTTTTTCTGTAACCAAATTGTTTTAATAGTGGTGCAACTAAAGTCTTTTCAGCTCCATATGTGTTGGAATCTCAATAGAAACTTTTACATATGTAAGATAGTATTAATATTAGAAAAAGTAGTTCAGACTTCTCTTCTTGAAGGCCCACCAGCCTTGTTTCCCACCAGCTTGGTGATGCAAGCCCTAAAATAGGAGAAATGGGAGAGGCAGATGGTGACCCACAATCAAGTGAAGAAGTGGTGGACTGCACTGGCAAGCAGAGGGCAAGATATGGATAAGTTGTGGCTGATACAGGCACAAGATACTTCAAAAGTAATAAGGACTGAAGGGAGGGGGCCCACCTGAAGTGTATGTGTATGAATAAAGGTGCTGAGATGATGGCTTTAGAGAGGAAACTTCAACTTCAAGACTCTGCTTGGAACAATGTTCACAACTAGTTGTCTCTCTGAAGTGCCTGTACACTGCTGCATGCAGCATGGGAAACCAACAGGAGGAACTTAGAGGTCTGCATGTAGTTGCAGGGCTGTGACCTCATTGGAATCACAGAGTGAAAGTGCTACAGCTTACACAATTAAAACACTACCGTGCCTGGATTCAGGATCTTTAGGAAGAGCAGGCTGGCAAGACAGCAACAGGAATGGAACTCTGCCTGAGTGGTGAGCCAACTGAGACCTTATGGATAAAGACTGACCGGCAGACCAACATGGATGACTGTTGTATTAGCCATCTGCTACAGATCACCTCATGAGGAAGAAATAAAAGATGGAGCTTTCATCTTGGTCTTGGGCAACCTACCCCGGCTGACTCTTCTTGAGCAGGCGAGTTGGACTAGATGACCTCAAAAGGTCTTTTCCACCTAAACCAATCTGTGATTTGTAGTCCCTGGTTCACATGAATTACTTTGGCCTGTCTAAGATCTGAAAGGCAACAAGCAGGGCACAAGGAATCTAGGAAACTTCTGGAGTGCATTGATAATAACTTCTGATACCAATAACTGAGAAGACAGCAATTGGATGTGCTCCTCTGGGGCTAATAATTGCAAACAAGGAAGAACTGATTGGAAATGTGAAGGTCAGGGAGCATATTTTGTTGCAGTGACCATGAGATTGTGGAGATCAGGATACTGAGGGAAGGACACAAAACAAATGGCAAGATCATAACCTGGAAATCAGGAAGGCAGACCATGGTCTGTTCAGTGATCTGCTGATGTAGTGGGTTTATCTTGGCTGAGTGCCAGGTGCCCACCAAAGCTTCTCTATCACTGCCCCTCCTCAGGGATAAAGAAATTAAAATGGGAAAGAAAATAAAATCAAAAGTTCATGAGTCAAGATAAGGACAGAGAGATCATTCAGCAGTTACCTGACCATGCAAACCCAGTACAGTATGGAATAATCATATGTTAAGGAGATCTGGAGAGGAGGAGGACCAGGAGAGCTGTTTGATTTTAGATATTGTCTTCCGTCAAGCTCAAGAGTCGCCAGTCCCAATATGTAGGAAGATAAAGGCAACAGGAGGCCAGCATGGACAAACAGGGATCTCCTGACAAAAGTCGAACATAAAAAAGAAACATACATAAAAGGAAGCAAGATCAGGTGACCTTGAAGAAGTACAGAGACATCATTCAAGGAGACAGAAATGAGTTCGAGAAACCCGATGTTCACCTGGAGTTGAATCTAAAAGGGATGTAAAATGTAACAAGATGGGATTTTACAGGTATATCAGCAGCAAATGGAGTATGAGTTGACCTGGTACTGGTTTGGGCAGAAGTGATCCTCATGAGCTGAACTGATGGTTTCAAAAAGAACTAAGTCCATCTCTAAACCAGTCATTAGTAATGTTCCCTCAGGTTCAAATACTGGGTCTAGTACTGTTCATTAACATTCTTCATTTAGTGACCTGAGTGTTAGAACAGAGTGCATGCTTATCAGGTTTACAGAGATAGAAAACTGGAAGTAGTTAACAGACTGAATGGTTGTGCTGCCATGCAGAGGAACCTCAGCAGGCTGGAGAACTGGGCCTATAGGACACTCATGAAGATCAACAATAGGAAGCGCAAAGTTCTGTCCCTGAAGGACAATCCCATGCATTAGTACACACTGAGGGCAGGAGGAAAGGAGCTTTTCAAAGATGGACCAGGGGATACTGATATACAAATAGTTGACCATGAGCCCGCAGTGCAGCAAAGAAGGCCCAGCAGCATCTGGGATTCAATAGAGGGAGTGTTGCCAGCTGGTCAAGAGAATTGATCCTCCCCTCTTCTCAGTACCAGTGAGAATGTATCATCTGGAGTGCTGTGTCCAGTCCTGGGCCCACCAGTACAAGAGACACAGATATACAGGAGTAAGTGCAGTGGAGAGATACAAAGATGAATAAAGAATTTGTGCATCTAATGTAGAAGGAGAGGCTGAGAGAGCTGGGACTGTTTGGCTTAAAAGAGATTCTAGTTGGGGGGTTCTTACCAATGTACATACATACCTGATGGGAGGGACTAAAGCAGATAGAGCCAGGCTTGTCTTGGTCATACCCAGTGTAAGGACAAGATGCAATTGGCACAAATTAAAACAATTCCATCTAAGCATAAACCCTCTTTTACTGTGAGGGTGTTTGAATAGGAATAGGTTGTCCAGAGAGTTCATAGAGTCTTCATCCTTGGTGACATTCAGAACATGTCTGGACATGACACTGGGGACATTTGACTAGACAATCTCTAGTCATCCCTTCCAATTTGAGCTATTCTGTGTTTCTAATAATACCTTGTGCATGTGATTTTTTACATTTGCATATGCTTATGACTGTGAGTTCTTAATTCCAGCATTCAAATACTCTGTGAATATGGATATTTTAAAGTGTAACATGAACAGATTTTCTTACTCTTCTGAATTTAAAACTAGATTTTGTGTCTCAAGATATATATTCTTTCATGAATCAGGGTGTCATTTCATAAGGCTTATTATCATATCATTTGTAAAGTGTGACTATGTCTGTGTAGCACTGTTGTAATAACTCAAAATGTAGTAATAAGGTAAGCTAGTTGTCATTCTGTGCGATGTTGTTTTATTTAATCATGGTGACTGTTGATTGACTTTCCAACATTTCACACTTTTCCTGAGAACATCCAGCTAGCTGGAAACACACACACAAGTTTTTTTTGTAATTTATTTCAATGTGTTTTATCTTGCATCTTTGATTTCTAGTATGGATAATATTCTACTATGTTTTGTATCTTTTCAAGTTTAGTTTATCCTGAATAATTTATTTAGAGTACTACTTCCTTCATCTTCATTTGTTGCTTTCTGTGTTACTGTATTTAAGGTTCTTCTGTATAAAGTTGAACGAATTTTGTGTTAAATTATTTGAAGGAAGTGAAATTTCCCCAAACATTTCTCATTAATTAAAATGAAACAAAAATGCAACACAACACTATCCAAATTCTATCAATTATTCATTAAGTTTCACTACTTCTAGAGGCAGAGCTTTACTTCATTATGAAAATAGAATCCCTAATAAAGAAATTAAATAGAAAATATTCTTCTCCTGTAAAATCAGAGATACTTTCTTATCTGTCTGAAACATTTTTGGCTTTGAATTTTCTTTGGGGAGAAATGTGAGAATCATCTGAGATGATATTCAGGAGTATAAAACAGAATGTAGAAAAATATTGTTACAAACACATTCTATTTATAGTTAGAATAATTTGATCATAGCTATTATTGTAGTTTTCTTAAAATATGTCATTCTTAAGAGCAGTGAAATAGAAATTCATATATACATACAACTTATGTATGTAAATACTTCCTTTGTATTTGTAAGTTGCTTGTAAGTACTCTCAAAAAATTAGTTGAGGTAGATTCAGAAAAATAAGTCAATGTCGTGGATGTGCCTATGAAATTATCTGATAGTGTTTTTGTAAATTGTTGTAGGTGACAGAGGTTTCCCCTAATGTGACTAAAAGCAGTCAAGCAGAAAAAGAAAGTCGTGGGCACCAGTGTTTTGAGTGTAGTCAAACCTTTTATTCAGTGACCATGCTGACGCACCATTGTAAGGAGGTTCATGGCAAGGAGCGAATACACGTTTGCCACATCTGTAATAAGGCCTTCAAGCGGGCAACACATCTCAAGGTATTTGGTAATAATAGTTGATTGTTCTGTTAACTCCTTTTTTGTTTTGGACTTTTTGTGATATTAACAAAAGGTACCTGTTATCCCTTTGTCTTTGCTTTCCTTTTGGAGTCTAAGTGATAATGTATACACAGATAGAGAACTCTCTTCTGGAGCACGGAGAGGATTTTAATGCATAATATATTGACTGCAGAATGAAAAATGTGAATGCCTGTCATGCAAGTAGTAGTGCCAGGAAAAGATTTCACTTTAATTGCATATGAATATCATCACTGCTAATCCTGATTTCCAGATAATCTTTTGGAATCTCAGGAAGCTATCTGCTATGCACTCATTTGATTTGTAGATTCTGCCTTGTGGGTGGAAGTGACATTTGTAGAGGAAGCGTTTGTTTTAAAATATCCTTATGTTATTGCTGTTGTCTAGGATATTTTCTGTGTTCTGTTTTCTAGATGATGAACAGCCAGATACATTGAAGTCTTTTCAAAAAATTAATGGTGTATTTAAGTTCCTAATTGTATTATAGGATGTTCCTGTTAGGGATATTGGGCTGTACTAGGCAAGTGCTATGTTCAGGCCAGTATCCTATCTCTGAGAGATACTAAATGGAAGTTATTTGAAGAAGATCTTTAGGAAGAGAGCAAACATATAACTTGCCCAGAATTTTGCCAGCTTCCCAGAGTTTATAACAGGAAATTCCTAGAGCCAAAGGCAATGTCTTTGTACTAAGTAGCTTTTAGGAGAGCTCTTCAATAGATTTCCTTTAACTCCAATATCGTATTTTAAGGAAATATGCTCCGTTTGTGAAGTTCACCCCCTCGGACTGATTATGTCTGTCAACCAGACTATTGGACCTTGGGGAAACTGTCATAAAATGTGTTGTTGTGAAACTTCTTGTTAAGAAGAATTTTTTCAGGAAAAAAACAAAACAGTATTGGTACTTGTTTTCCTTAAGTAATGATAACAAAACCCAAATATCGGTCTCTCTTCAATTTGTTTTCTTAGAACTGGCTGTTGTTACATTTTTTTGTCATAATTAAACCTTGATTTCTGTTATATACTGGATCCAAGTTAAAGATGTGACAACAGAACTTCCTACCCTTGTATGTCCCTTGGATTATTATCCATCATTGATTTTTCAGGTAGGCAGCGATGAAGTTGCAATAAGAAGTTCAAAGGCAGTCACAAGAGACTTCATGGCCTTGGAACAACTTTTTAAGGGATCAGAAGAACAAGTAATCTTTTCTTCTATCGTTCCGGTTGCAGGGAATGATGAAGGAAGAGACAGCAGATCAGTAACTATCTGAGACTGGCATCACCAGCAGAATTTTGGGGTTTTTGATCGTGGATTGGTCCACATGACAGCAGGCCTGCTGCAAATGGGCTGCACTTGTCTCAAAGGGGTAAAAGGATCTTTGAGGAGTTAGCAAGGCTTATTGAAAGAGCTTTAAACTAGGTTTGTAGGGGGAAAGGGATAAAACCAGTCTCACTAGAGATAAGCTTGTGGGTGGCACACCAATGTTTGAGGAATCATATGCTAGCAAAGCCCTTCAGTCTTCTCCACAGTGCTGAGTACACTGGAGCATGTTTGAAGTGTCACTGTACCAGTGCATGCAGCACCGTAGACACCTCAGGGGAGGGAGGGGAAATGGCCAATGACCTGAGGCACAGGTCTATAGGGCAGGATGGAATACACCCATGCGTACTGAGGGACCTGTCAGAAGAACTTGCCAAACCACTTTCAATCATTTATGAGCAGCCCTGGCTCCAGGGAGGTCTCAGTTGACTGGAGGTTAACAAATGTGACACTTGTCTACAAGAAGGGCTGGAAATAGGATCCAGGAAACTACAGGCTTGTCAGCCTGATCTCAGTGCCAGGAAAGGTTATGGATTAACTCATCTTGAGTGCCATCATGTGGCACATACAGGACAGTCAGTGGATCAGGCATAGCCAGCATGGGTTTATGAAAGGCAGGTTCTGCTTGAGTAATTTGATTTCCTTCTGTGACAAGGTGACTTGCTCAGTGGTGGAGGGAAAGGCTGTGGATGTTGTCTGCCTGAACTTCAGCAAAGCCTTTGACACCATTTCCCAGAGCGTTCTCCTAGAGAAGCAGTCTTCCAATGCCTTGGACCGGTGCACTGATCACTGTCTGTATGGCCATGCCCAGAGTGGTGGTGAATAGAATTACATCCAGCTGGTGGCCAGTCACAAGGGGTGTTCTCCAGGGCTCAGTACTGGGACCACTTCTATTTCATATCTTTATGAATGATCTAGACAAGGAGAATCGAGTGCACTCTCAATAAGTTTGCAGAGGACACTAAGTTGTGGGGGAGTGTTGATCTGCTGGAGGGCAGAAAGGCTCTGCAGAGGGATTTGGACAGTATGAGATTCAGCAGGTGAAGTGACAGGTCCTGCACTTGGGTCACAGCAATGCTATAGGCCAGGGGTGGAGTGGCTGTGAAGCAGCCCAGTAGAGAAAGAGATGGGTCAACAGCAGTTGAACAAGATCCAGCAGTGTGCCCAGGTGGCCAAAAAAGCCAGTGGCATCTTGGCTTGTACCAGAAATAGTGTGGCCAGCAGGACCAGGGCAGTGATAGTCCCCCTGTACTTGTCACTGGTGAGGTTTCACCTCGAATTCGGTTTTGGGTCCCTCACTTCAAGAAAGGCAATGAGATCCTGGAGTGTGTCCAGGGAAGGGCAGCAGAGCTAGTGAAGGGTGTCAATTACAGGTCTCGTGAGGTAGCTGGGGTTGTTTAGCCTGGAGGAAAGGAGGCTCAGGGGAGACCTTATAGCTACAAGTACCTGAAAGGAGGATGTAGGCAGATGGGGGTCAACCTCTTCTCCAAGGTAACAAGCAATAGGACAAGAGGAAATGACCTCAATTGTGCCAGGTGAGGTTTAGATTGGCTATTAGGGAAAAATTTCTTCGCTGAAAGCTTGTCGAGCATTGGCACAGGCTTTACAGGGAAGTGGTTGAGTACCCAGCTCTGAAGGTATTAAAATATGTAGATGTGGCACTGTGAACAGTGGCTTGGTGGACATAGTTTAGTGGTAGGTTAGGACAGTGCTGGGTTAATGTGTGGCTTTGATCTTAAGGGTCTTAAAGGACAGTTTCATTTACCACTGGACCTTCATGTACTAAAACAAATTCCACACATTATCAGACTCTTCTTCATTAAGGTGTTCCAGAATGTCAGCTGTAAGCAGCCTTTAATAGGAAATTCAGCAAAGATGAAACCTTGGGGTTTGGCTTAGGGTTTTGGGAAGGGTTCAGTGACCTCTTACTCATGGTCTTCATTTTATACTGAATAGTATTCTGGAGATCACCAGAAATATTAAGGGCACTGCCAGACTTCAGGCTTTTCAGAAAATCCAAATAAGAGGTAAGGGTATCAGTCTTTTGATGCCAGTACTTAATTATATGGGTTTTTTTCCCAAAAGTATCAGTACCAGCAGTTTCACAATTATCCACAAGAAAATCTTCTTTAGAGATTATGTATGAACACCCCTACCACCCACCCTGCCCCCAGTGTCAAAAATTTTCAGTCCAGTGACTTCAGTTCCCCTTCTGATGTGGGTGACTGTTCTGATTTTACAGCTTCAGAGAGGAGAATCTTAAGATGTGCATTGGACTAAACTGTCCAATTCCATATCAGTATGTAGTGGAAATATCTGCAAGTTAACTGTAGATAGTAAATAAAGCACAGACATGATTCTAAGATGAAATTAAAACAGCACTGTCATCTTATTAAAACAATGGAATGAAATGAACTTTCTGCCAATCTTTCAGAGGCGGTTACAAATAATGTTTCAGGATAGGCAGAGTGGGAATAGGAGTGACATACCAATGCATGTGTGAGGGGCCGAGGGCCCTTTCAAAGAAGGTTTCCTGTTCTTATTTTCTAATTAGATAATGCTGGTTTGGAACCCCAAGGTAGTTACTAGCTGATGAATATGAGAATTACACAAATAAACTTGTAAAATGTCACATGAACAATCAATGAAATACTAAATATGTCTTTAAAGAGGTGCTTGAAGTTCAGAGCATTGTATTCCCATGAACTCTTTCTCAAAAGTATATATATTTTACAGGAAAATTATAAGAGATTGACAGATCAGTGGACCTGAACTGCATCACAAACTGTTCAGAGAAAGATGACAGAAAGTTTATGGTGGCTATCTGAACGCTATATTGTTTGCTTTCAAGTAGAAAATGGTATGGGGGGGTTGTTGGGGTTTTTTGGGGGTTTTGGGTTGGATGTTTTGTGGTGGAAGAAAGAAGCAACCAGTTTCTGTTAATTTTTCTGGAGTAGGTCATAGTTTGCTTCCACCATTTCAAAGCTTCAGGAGGTAAGAAACAAGATAAAAGCAAAAGATTTTTATTTCCACATAAGCTGTGGTTTACAAATTACTGATTTTTCTCAGAAGACCTTATGTTATTTCCTTGTAGTACTATATTATATAATTACTATGATAATAATATTCTTCCCTGTAACTGTCTCGCTGATTTTCCAGTGTAAACAAACTCTACAGATACAGTTTGACTCAGTTCGTGGAGTGAGGAATAGGACTCCATAGACATCAAGAAGGCTTATTGTTTAGGTATAGTAAAGACTAATTAATAGTTTAGTCTGTTATGGATAGACTAGAAAAGAATATCCACACACATTTTAGAAAGTGGGCAAGTATTTGCAGTACTGTTTCACAAACAGTTCTTGATTAGATTTTTTAAGTTAAATATATATGTATTTGCTTTCTTTTTTATTTTGAATTCTATTTTGGTATTAAATAAAATATTTAAATGAAAAAATTAATAGATAACATAAGATACTCTTCTAAATTTGCAAGTCTTCTGGGTCCAGCATCAGTGAATTAAAAACACTGAAGTTAGAGCTGTTATTAATGCTTCTTCATGAAGGTAAAACATGTCATATCCTCATTCTGCTGTCTTACCTATAAGGGCCTTAATGATTCTCTTTTCATTTTTTTTCTTTTTTTCTTCTTCTTTTTTAATTAAGAGTTCATTATGAAGTGGTTCTATTTGCATCTTGGCATTGTGTGGCTGTGTATGAGTGTATGTTGTGATAGTCCCCTGTTTGAGGCCTCTACAGTTTCAGAATGGTACTAATTCAGGTGCTGAGGAATACCTGTGTATCAGACAAGGAGGGAGATGGATACTGTGGAGGAGAGAGGGGAAAAATCCTATATTAACTTAAAATGCAAAGTTGTCAAAATACCTCTTTGTAGGTGAACAAAGTATTTCAAGAGTTCTGGTTCAGCTTGTTTTATTTTGCTTCAGATAATTAGTGAAGGGACTAACGTATGCAAAAAAAGCAAGACATACATGGTGGAGTTGTTCAAATGTAAAGATACTGATGCATCAGTCTTGCAAAGAGTTGATATACAAAAATAATCTCTCATTTAAAAAAAAAAATGCAGGCTTCCATTTTCTTCCAGCTTGTCTGCTGATGACTAAGATTCTCTGCTTTTGTCTTCAAGGTGTGACTATATTGTTTGTTAAATACTGACTTTTTTTTAAATGGTCTGAAATTTATTTTTTTTTTCTATACTGCCCTAGGAGCACATGCAAACCCATCAGGGTGGACCGTCACTGAGCTCCCAGAAGCCTAGAGTGTTTAAGTGTGATACTTGTGAAAAAGCTTTTGCTAAACCAAGTCAGCTGGAGAGACATAGTCGCATTCACACAGGTAACAGAAATTATTTTTAGCTCATGGGATTTTCTTATTAATATAAGGGTGTTATGTTTGGAGTCCTTGCTTATGCTTTCATCTCACTGCATTTAAATAACAACTTAAGCTTAAAAAAACCCAAGTAAATTTCTAACCCAAAATGTTTGGAAGTTAAAAGGAGGAACAGCAGACTTGAAATCTCATGATGCTTCACTAAGCTTATCTGTATTTTGGGACTGGCAGTACTGCAATGGTAACGTGAATGCATGAGCTTGTATGTAAAAGTTTGAAACAGATTAAAAAGAGCATATTTTAAGCCATTGTTTAAAGTGGTGTAAATACTCTGGATATGATAATCTTCAAGCATATAGAAGAACGAGCAAATGAGTGGGTGTGCTCAGTGATGTTAAACAAGGAATGGACTTGACTGCTGATACTGACTGCTGTATGCAGGGCACCCCAAATCCTCGTTTGCGAAGCCCAGCCGTGAATACAGGGCTTCATTGTCATTGAGCTACTTGCTCAGTTCATCTGTTTCTGATGCCAGTGCTTTTAATCTGTTGTTTTCTTTTCCGCTTAAGTATTTTCTTCAACTGGTAATCTGTAAATAAAGATCATGCTGGCTTCTCCCAGGGAAACCATCACATTTTCTGTGATGTAAGTGCTTTTCAGGTTGCAGCTTCTGCCCTGCTACAAGTTGAGAGCTGTACATAGGATGCCTTCCCTGTCACCTTCTGTGCCTGAAGAACAGTGTTCTTAAGAACATGAGTTCTGAATATAGGAGTCAGTTCTCCAAAACAAGTTCGTTCTTTTCCCTGTCACTGCTACCAAGAGTGAGCTGTCATGGCTGCTAGAGTTAAAAAAGACAGGGGAAAGCTATCTGTGTTGCTGTTAAGCTGGATGGGACTCCCACAAAAGGATAACTCTCTCTTTCAGTGAGCAGCCAGAGCTTTCTCTTTCCCCAACACCAAGCTGTTTTGTGGTTACTGTGATAGAAAGGAACATTCTGGTTATACTGGGGACAGGAAAAGAGAGACAGGAGTTAAAATCCAAGGAGATTAAAATTCTTCAGAATTCCCCAGTAATTTGCTTTCTGCATAAATGACCTAAATAACACAGACTCTTAAAAAAGGAAATGTTCTAGTTAAGAGTACCACAAAATATTCAGAAAGCAGGAGAGAACCAGTTTCCATTCTCCCTGCTTTGATTCATGCTGCCCATTGTAATGGGCAAAGAGCACTTCAGAAAGTCTGGGAACAGAGCAGAGTCCCTTTATGCATCTGCACCATCATAGGAGAAATTCTTTCTGGTTTGGAAGGACTTGTAAATCACTCTAGTAAATCCTTAGATATTTTTGTTTCTTGTACCTGAGTGCTTATGGGCTAGGAATGCCCACAAACTTTAACAAACCTTGCTAAATTCATATTTATGTTTCTATTTCAACAGTGTCAGACAACATATCCATATGATAGGACTATGGACTAGGATAGGAAAGGCTAATGTAAATCTAAACTGACTTGCTTTCATAAAGGTACCATCTTTGTCTGTGAGAAAGTGTGATTTCTCTCCTGGTTATACATTTTTAACCATTTCTAATGGGCAATACCTACTGAATCAGTGGTTAGAAGGAAAAAGCATTATTTCTCTGAATAACTCTAAATATCTCATACTTTAAGATTTACCAATGAAGAGCGGTTTGGAGAAATGTTGAAATTAGAGGGAAGCAGATGCTCCCAGTTCTACCCAAAAGCCATGTGGTAATCCATTACACAACACAAGAAAGGCTGTTCACTTTAAGTGAATAAAAAAAATGGAATCAAAAGTACTTGAGGAAACCTAGATTTCACTTCAAACTAGTGAAATAGTTGGTGACAAAAAAGAAACAAAACTTCTGTGCTTTAAAGGACCTTATATTGATTGTCCGAGAAATTGGATTTGGCGTGCAAGCTACAGTGGATGTGGGAACTAACATACAGGTAATGAAGGGAGAGAGAAATTCATCCTTTAAGAACAATTGTGGGAAAGTATTCATACTCCTGCTTGTGCTTTATTGTACTAACTAATAACAAGGTGTATATCTAAGTTCAGAAAGTGCTTTTAGCTGTCCTTAATGACATACAACAATGTGTCTTTCATTGATCTGTAAGGTTGGGGTGTTGAATGTTTAATCAAAGGTCGATTTTGCAAAGTAGATATTTTTAAACATTTAAATATTTTTAAATGAATACATTCGTGCATTTATAGTTAGAAGTCAGTAGTATTCTGGTAGATTTGGATCAATCCTTTGGTAAGATGTGGGAATCACTAGTAGCTGTTGGCATAGGAGGCCACAGGTCCCATGTAGAATTAGCAGAACACTTCTTTTTTTAACATATTTGACTTTTTAGTTTCTTACAGACATCAGCTTTGTTAATTCTAGAACACTGCTTTGTCTGCATTACTCTAAATGATGTAAAAAGCTGAAGGTTTCCTTGAATACAGAAAAGTCAAACTGGTAAACTGATTTATTTGCACCTCTGTTAAATAATTTACTTAGATGATAAATTGGATAGGAAAGATAATATCAGTGATTTAGTACTTATGTAAGTATTCTGACATTTAATTTGGAATTTTTACTGACAATATGGAGCCGTAGCACTGTTTAGAGAAGGTCTTAAGGAAAAAGGTCACGTCTGTTTCATTTCTAGGTCATCTTGATGATTTTTACTGAATTCTGAACTGTATTTTACTGTTGAAATGAAAAATTATTAAATATGTTTTTCTCTTTTATAAGGGGAACGGCCATTTCAGTGTACGCTATGTGAAAAGGCATTTAACCAGAAGAGTGCCCTTAAAGTCCACATGAAAAGGCACACGGGAGAGAGACCTTATAAATGTGATTACTGTGCAATGGGATTTACACAGAAAAGCAATATGAAACTGCATATGAAACGGGCTCATGGTTACACTGGTACGTAGCATAGTGGTAGTACTGGTGAGTTCAGAAAGCCATGTGCTTTACTGGGAAAGCACAAAATACTTTCCTTAAGTTATCAAGGAATTAAGCACTAACAGCCAAAGACCACAGCTGAGGAGGTAATAGTTGCACACGCAACACAAAAATCAGGTTGAAACAGTGATTGGTTGCCTTTTCGGTTCCTTGTTTTTTATGTGGAACTCTGTGTACAGAAATACAGTACAAAAACTATTCCAGGAAAACAATGATATTAGATTTTTTTAAATTTTTTTAAGACTGTCTAATAAATCTGCAGTATGTGAAGTAGTTGTGTAATACCTTTCCCAGCATGATTCCTTTATTCTCAAATGCTATATTGGCATTTTTCTAACGCTATACATCAAATCATACTCACTTGCCTTTTTCTCTTGTACCTTGGTAGGTCCTGTACAAGAGCCTGCTAGTCATCAAGAACAGGAAGGGGAAGATATTAGTCGTGCTCTGAATTTAGAAGAAGTGGTACAAGAATCTTCAAATGAATGGCAAAGTATAGGCAATGTTTTTCGATGACACCTTAAAATTTGAAAGCTAAAAATGTTTCTGGGACTCAAATTTTACAGTTAAAGCTTCAAGCACTGAAAATACTAACAATAGAATAATATATTATAGTTTTTCTAATTATTTACAGAAATTACCTAAAAGATGAATTCAATTTTTTAAGCTTGTAGAAGAATATTGGGAAAACACCATTTAATCTGTGCTAAGTTGTCTGTGAATCAGTGAACTCAGGTAATAATGTATACAGTTTCATCTTCGAATTCACAGCCAGTATACTTACTTAAAAAATAAACTGGAAATTTTTAGAATAGAATGATTCCCATTTTTACTGGAAGTGAAGAATAACTTCGTGGGAAAATCATGAAACTGTCCATCAGCTTTCTTTTTCACA